ATGGTGTACAGAACAGCAGTTCTCAGGATGCCCCTGTAATGAGTGACTCCATGGTGTGTCTAAGTGACTGTTCTGCTCCACCTGTTCATGGTGCACAGAACAGCAGTTCTCAAGCTGAACCTTCCCAGAGTGACTCCATGTTTTCTAGAACAGCAGCTCTCAGGCTGCACCTGCCCCAGTGACTCCATATTGTAGAGAATACCAGTTCTCAGACTGTGCCAGCCTTGAGTGACTCTATGGTGTGTAGAACAGCAGCTCTCAGGCTGCGACTCCCCTGAATGACACCAGGGTGTACATAGTAACATAGAACCTGTCCTGAATGGCTTCATGATGTGTAGAACAGCAGTTTCCCATCTGTGTACTCCCCTCCCTGAGTGACTTCAAGGTGTGTAGAAAAGTAGTTCTCAGGTTTTATCTGACCCAAGTGACTCTGTGATGTGTAGAATAGCACGCCTCAGGCTTTATCTGCCCCTATTGACTCCATGTTGTATAGAATAGCCATTTTCAGGCTGCACCTGCCCTGAGTGACTTCATGCTGTACTGAACAGTAGCTCTCTGGCTGTCTTTCCCTGAGTGTCTCCATAGAGTGTATAATATCAGTTCTCAGGCCATTGTGCCCTGAGTGACTCTAAATGTGTAGATCATTAGCTCTCAGGCTGTGCCTGCCCTGATTGATGCTAGGGTGTACAGACAGCAGTTCTCAGGCTGCTTCTACTCTGAGTGACTCCATGGTGTGTAGGACAGAAATTTCAGACTCAGCCAGCCCTGAATGACTCCATGATGTGCAGAACAGATCTCAGGCTGTGCCTGCATAGAATGACTCCATGATATGTAGAACAGCAGTTCTCTGGCTGCTCCTTCCCTGAGTGACTCCATTTTGTAGCGAACAGCAGTTCTCAGGTTGTGCCTGCCTGAATAACTCCATGGTATACAGAACAGCACCTCTCAAGTTGCCCCTGCCCTGAGTGACTCCATTGTGTGTAAAACAGCAGTGCTCAAGCTGTACCTCCCCTGAGTTACTCCAAGGTGTACAGAACAGCCGTTCTCAGGATGTGCTCTTCCTCAGTGACTCCATGGTGTACAAAACAGTGGTTCTTAGGCTGCTTCTGCCCTGAGTGACTTCATGATGTTTAGGACAGCAGTCTCAGGCTACACATGCCCTGTTTGACTCCATAGTGCACAGAATAGTATTTCTCAAGCTACACCTACCCTAAGTGACTCTATGGTATATAGAACAGCATTTCTCAGGCTCCACCTCCCCTGAGTGACTTCAGGGTGTACAGAACAGCAGGTGTCAGGCTGTGCCTGCCTTGAGTGACTTCATGGTGTGTAGAACAACATTTCTCGGGCTCTATCTAATCCTGAGCAACTCTATGGTGTGTAGAACAGCAGTTCTCTGGCTGTGCCCACACTGAGTGACTCTATGGTGCACAGAGCTGTCAGGGTTCTGTGTTTGGTACTGGGTGTCTGATAGCTTCATGACTGTGGCATGCTTGGTGGCAAAGGACATTACTGTACAAAGGAATAGAATGTCTGGCTGTTGGGAAGTTTCAGTGCAAAGGGACAGAATGCCTGGCTACTAGGAAATGCCTGGCTGCTGAAGAAATGCCTTGCATAAGGAGGCTCTGTGCTAGAGTCTTATCAGCTTTGACCTTGATCTCAGACATAGAGCTCCTGGGAATAAAGGAACTTGTTATTAGATAACTACAGTGTTTCACCAAGCTCTGGTGCTCCTGAACCTACCCACTAACAGTAACTTTAAACAATGGACTTTCTTGAGAGCTACACAAATCTCCTAACATTGCCGCAGCCCGGCTGGCTGGGCAAACTAACCGGGGGGTGACAAACAACTTGTGTACATTGATACAGCAGGAGTGGGAGCCATTTATTGTAGGACAGGAGGGATATATATACATTCCACGCAGCTTATCTTAATTAACATAAACTACATACAGCAGTCAACCAATAAGGAATCTCCACACTTAATGGCTCACTGGCGTTACTTCACAAACCACTCCCTCTGGCAAAATGCCAGGCGCCATCTTGACTTGTTTACAGACCCTAACATAACATTGCATATTTTAACTATAGAATGAAAATATGGAAAAATCAACCTTACTGATACAATAAACAATCATGTGGTGATGACACTAATTGCCTGATAGAACCTAAAGGTATAAATAAACATGGCCGCTTGGATGAGCAGCCATTTTTCCTGCCTCTGCATCTTGTCTCTGTGTCTCTTCTTATTTTCCTTATACAGAGCAGCAGTTCTCCAGATGCTTCTGCTCTGAGTGACTCCATGGTGTGTAGGACAGAAATCTCAGGCTCAGCCAGCCCTGAATGACTCCATGGTGTCAAGAGGAGATGTCAGACTATGTCTGCCCTGAGTGCCTCTATTGCATAGAGAACAGCAGTTCTCAGGCTGTGCCTGCCTGAATACCTCCTTAGTGTACAGAGCAACACAACTCAGGCTGTCCCTGCCCTGAGTGACTCCATTGGTGTAGAACAACAGTGCTCAAGCTGTACCTAAACCTGAGTGCCTCAATGGTGTAGAGAGCAGCAGTTCTCAGGCTGCACCTGCCCTGAGTGACTCCATGCTCTGTAGGACAGCAGTCTTAGGCTCCAACTGTTCTGAGTGACTCCATGGAATACAGAACAGCAGTTCTAAGGCTGTGCCTGTCCTGACTGACTCCATGGATTAGAGAATAGCAGTTCTTAGGCTGTGCCCATCCTGCATAACTCCATGGTATACAGAACAGCAGTTCTCAGGCTGTGCCTGCCCTGAGTGACTTCGTGGTGTGTAGAACATCAGTTCTCCGGCTTCTCCCTGCTCTGAATGATTTCATCTTAAGAATCAGTAGTTTACTATGAGCTACTCCTTTTGAGTTTAAGAATTCAAATGTGTTGACACATTTTCTTAGTACTAGTAAACAACAACAATCTGTCTGGCATAGGCACAAACTGATAAAGACATTGATCGTGTTAATGATCATGACCACTCATGAGCTTATCAAATTAATCAGAAGGACATGGATGCATGGGCATATGAAACCCACGTCAGTGAAATCAAGCCCATGATCTTTGTCTGTTGGTGTTATTGGGTATCGAACCCAGGGGTGCTTACCACTGACCCACCTTTCAGCACTTTTTATTAAAACGGGATCTCACTAAGTTGCTTTGGAGCCTCACTAAATTGCTGAGGCTCACCTCCATCTTGTGACCTTTCTGCCTCAGGCTCCAGAGCTGCTGGGATTACAGGCGTGTGCCACCACACCCAACCCCATGAGTTTACTGAACATGTCAGACTACCAAAAAATGCAGCCCCCTCACTCAAGATCCATAAAAGAAAGAGCACACTGAGACTGGATAGGAGGTACCCTGATCCCGTCACCTGGACACTCATCATGAGCCTTGCTCAGGGAAATCTCCAGTGACAATCTTGAATCTCTGTCCTCGGACTTTAGCACAGTAGAGTTCCTCCTGCCCATGAAAACTACACAAGTTCCACTCTGAGAGGACACTGTGAAGCTGCTTTTGGTGGGGACATTGGCCTAGAGTAAGCGCTTGTGCTTTGACAGCTGTGCTCCCTGAACAGTACTCGGGCTGCTCCCTGGTGTTATGGGACCAACTCCAGGGACTCTGCTTTCACGTCTGCTCTTGCCCTTTGCTCCAGGTCGGCTTCCTGAAGCCCCATGGCTGCCTCGGCCCTCCCTTAGCCTTTGTGTAACCTACCTATCATTGTGCAAAGTGAGATGTGTGACTCAAGTGCTGTAGATGTCAGAGATCACCATGGGAACAGAAGAGCCTGTGATGACCTGACATGACCACCAGGTCAGTGACTGCCCTGATAAAGCGGTGTGGCCTGAGAATCTGCAGTTAATCGGTAACTTCTGACACTGTGGAAAGAAACACATGCTTCATCTAGGTAACAACATAGCAGGCTCACAAGAACAGCAAGATCATAAGACAAACTGATAAACTGAGTCATGCTGGTTAAAATAATGACCACCTGTAGCCAGGTGTGGCGGTGCATGTGTGTGATCCCAGCAGCTCAGGAAGCTTAGGTGGGAGGATGGCAAGTTTGAGACCAGCCCCAGCAACTTGGCAAGACTGGGTCTCAAAATAAAAACTAGAAAGGGCTGGGATGTGGCTCAGTGGTAAAGCACCCCTGGGTTCAATCCCTGTATCAAACAAACACTGTTATCTGACCACCTGCAGTGGCTCTGCAGTTGTGTCTGCCTTGCCTCTCGAAGCCCTAGGACACCCTTGTCCCCACTTAGCCTTTCTGTAACCTGTGCAGCTCATGTGTGATGGGTGACCTGCAGGAGTGTTCTGGATATCAGTGATCATGTTTGGAAAGGAACACGAGAACATGAGACAGCCATAGTCCTGGCCAAGGAGCCGGTGTCCTGTTCAGCGGGCATTAGGGACTTCAGAGGGGGAATGGGTGTCACATTCATCAGCCAGGATGGCCCTAAGAAAGCAACACACAATGCATGACTTGGCCAGTTTGTCTTCTCGCAGTTCTGAAGCCTGGAAGTCCAAGATCAGACCTTGGCACTCAGCCTTTCCCTGGGGTTCCATCCCTCTGGGGCTTGCCAGTGGCCCTCTGGGGTCTCAAGGACATCATCCCTGCACAGACACCTTTAAGAGAAGAGGAAATCACTTCCAAACAACTAAAAGGAATATCCTGTGTGTAAGGAACATGTAACATGTGTCAGCACGATAAGCTACTGTATGCTAAAATGTTCTTGTGGTGGTTTAGGTGTAGGGGTTCCTGTGAATTTGTATAAGATTAAATCCCTATTGATTGGACAGGAATCCTATCTAGACCTTAGATTAAGAGAGAAATGATGAGATTACTAGAGGAGGAACTTGAGAATTATCCAAATGATTAACTTAGGGTGGAGCCATCTGGGTTGATCATATAAAACCCAGCCTCAGCCCAGCGACTCATCTCTTGGATGGATTCTTGGTCATTGAGACTCTCTTCCAACATGGCACAAGACAGCTCTTCAAACAGTAAGTTCACAGCCCACCTGACAGATTAACCTGGTTTGGGGAGGAAATTGGGCCTGTTAGAAGTTATGGAAATTCTGTTGGTTAAGTATTTGAATATCCATCCTGGGGAAAGAAAAAAAAGGCTTCCCTGATGTAGTGTTATGAAGAGACGCCATTTGCTGAGCATGGTGGTGCACACCTGTGATCCCAGCAATTTGGGAGGCTGAGGCAAGAGGACCATGAGTTCGAAGCCAGTCTCAGCAACTTAGGGAGGCCCTCAGCCACTCAGGAGACCCTGTCTCTGAATAAAATACAAAAAAGGGCTGGCGATGTGGCTCAGAGGTTAAGGCCCCTGGGTTCAATCCCTGACATTAAAAAACCTTCCATTTTCTGCGCATTTGAGCATTGGGGTTTTAGGAAGGTGCAAATATTCAAGAGTCCAACAGGACAAACTTGCTTCAGGAAGGAGGAAGGGAAAAGCAAAGGGAGACAGACTCAGTAAAGGAGGGATCTGTGGGGCCTCTCTGAGCTAGGCGCCAAGTGTCGGTTCAGAGCCGCTTCCAGAGGTCTTCTCCTGAACTTTGGTGTGTCCATCTGATGGCCTACTGGTCTCACAGATGTCTCAGACCACGGTGTGCCCAGCCGAGCGCCCCATCTTCTCACTCAACCCATGCTTCAGCCTGCCCTAGCTGGTGTGATGCAATTACACTGTTGGTGGATGGTCACAGCCTTCGGTGACTGCCTGTGTCACCGAATGAAAGTTCCTGTCCCTACCACTGTCCATCTAATTTGGCTCCCTGGAGGGTCTGTGACCTCATATCCTGTCCCTGTGTCCTTCTCCAGACTTTCTCTGGGTCTTTACATTGGCTGCGTCCCTTCTGGAAATGGGTGACTCCCAGATGTCACCACAGCTGTCGATCATCATGCACATGTCATTTTCTCAGTGATCCTATTCCTTTTTTGGTGTGTGTGGTGGGGACTGGGTGTTGAGCCCAGGGGTGCTCAACCCCTGAGCCACCTCCCTAGCCCTGATGGTATTTGAGACAAAAGTCCCACCAAGTTGCTTCGGGTCTTGCTAAGTTGCCCAAGCTGGCCTCAAACTTGCCATCTTCTTGCCTCAGCCTCCAGAATCGCTGGGATGGCGGGCGTGCACCACCTCACCAGCTGAATGCAGTGTATTTTAGATGGATCTATCTTGCTAATCTAATTTTCCCCCATGAGTTTGGTCTAATGCATAAAATTCTATCATGCACCACACTTTGTTTATATTCCCTTGGTGATGGTCAACTTAAATTTTGCCAACTGTTTGCTATTACAACATTCTCCTAAATGTACCATGGAGAGCCAGCCACAATGGCGCACACCTATAATCCCATCGGCTGGGGAGGCTGAGGCAGGAGGATCACAAGTTCAAAGCCAGCCTCAGCAACTTAGCAAGATTCTGTCTCAAAAAATAAAAAGGGCTGGGGGAGTGGCTCAGTGGCGAAGTGCTCATGGTTCAATCCCCAGCACCAAAAATAAATGAATAAATAAATGGGTGGGTGCAGTCAAGGCCCCCCAAGATGCAAATGAGGCACAAGATGGTGTGACCTGTGAGGGGTTTTTTGTTTTTTGAGAGGAGTCTCTGCCGCCCTCTAGGGGTTGCCCAGCTGGTGTTCCAGGCTGGTCTTGAACTCTGGGCTGGAGAAAGCCTCCCTCGGCCTCCAGAGTGCACAGGGCCACAGGGGGGCCCCGCCCACCCCCCCAAGGCTTCCCCCTGCAGGACCCCTGGCAGATGGCTAGGAACCTGTGGTGTCAGACCCGTCATTTTCCCTGAGCGTCACTCAGCCTCGGTTCACAGGGGCGATATCAGGCGCCACACATTGTCGCGGGGACCCTGAGCCCAGAGGGGCCAGGTGCCTGGTTTCATGCTGATTCTGTCTAGTGTTCCCCTTGCCCGGGACTCCAGGCCCAGGCGGGTCCACTAGGATTTCCCCAGCCAGGCAGGGGGCCGCCCTGTGGGAGGAGGGAATGCAGACAGGACCCAGGCATCTCAGCTCCGAATCAGGCCAAGGGAGAGAGAAAGGAGGCTGAAGTGAGAGCGCCGCTGGGACACGGTGACCTTAGGAGGGAGGGGGCAGTGCACGGATGTGGAGCAGCCGGGCCAGCTGGGCTGGGGGCACAGTGTGGAGCCCTGTGGAACAGCAGGCCCCGCAAGGGCTAAGCCGGGCAGGGCATCACCACGGCTCCCTGCAGGGGCCTGGGCCCATGTCAGAGCCCGCGGCATGAGCTCTGGAGGGTGGGCCTCCCTCTGTGAGGCGCAGTGGGCAGGGGGTGGTGGACCAGCATTGGAGGATCAAATAAAGATGCTCTCGGGCGTGCCCCCAGAACTCCAGTAGCACAGCAAGGCTTCGCCTCAGTTCACTGCGTCCCATTAGGTTACAAACGGTATGCTCCAAAGACTCTCCAGATTTGGCTACTTCAAGGAGATATCCTGTATCTAAAATCACGTGATGTGGTGTTTTCCTTTTGGAGATTCTGGGCAAAGTATGGAATCCTTTTAGTCCTCCTTTTGGGGGTCCTGGGGGCTCGGTCCAGGGCCTTGCACCTGCTAGGCCAGTACCTCACCACTAAGCTGCATCCCCAACCCCTGGAACTCCTTTTGTGATTAATTTTGTGCACGTAACATTTTTTTGGAATATTCTGGAAATTGGTCTAGTTTGCCTGCGATGGTGAGTGATAAGGACAGACCCAGGGATCTTGACCGGAAAACCTGGAATGGCTTAATGGCCCCTGCCGCAGGCTTTGCTTCTGGGTTCAGTTCTTCATCCCCAGATGGACCCGTCGCACATCCTCTTAGCCCATTGCTTATGATCTACACGAAAATAGCGCGACCGTTTTCTATGGGGCTCTAAAACGGGACCCTGCGTGTCGGGTTGCAGCATTTGGGTCAGCTGGAGAAGCTGGAAGATCAGCTGTGTTGACGGGCGTGGTGGGGAGGGAAGGAAGCCCTTCCCTGCCGGGGGCTCTGGGTTCCAAAAGGGGAGAGAAAATGAGAGGCAGGACCGGCGTCTCCAGGTAAGCTAACCCACTTGATGGTGCCTATTTCCTGATCTTTCCACAGGGCCCATGCCAGGGAGCTGTAGGCGTGATCGCACTAAGTTCACCAAAGAGCAGCTGAAAATCCTCATCGACACCTTTAACCAGATGCCATACCCAAATTATGCTACCAAACAGAAACTTGCCGTGGAAGTCAACACTGATGAGTCGAGAATCCAGGTGAGTTACAAATCCTCTTTCTTTCTTTCTTTCTTCTTTCTTTCTAGTACTGGATTGAACCCAAGGGAGCTCTACTACTGAGCTACATCCTCAGCCCTTTCTAGTTTGATCAGGGTTCTTGCTAAGTAACCCAGGCAGGCCTCAAACTTGCCGTCCTCCAGCCTCAGCCTCCTGAGTCACTGAAGTTACAAATTCTATATCTCCAAAACTGGAATTGGAAAGGAAGAAAGGAAAAGCACTGTGATGGCACAGGTTCCAAGCATGCTGAGGGCTATGTGCAGACTCTGCTGGACTCAGAGTCAGCCCACAGAGCTGTTGCCCTTGGTCTGGCATGGTAGTGTACCACCACAGTTCCCACAGCTCAGAAGGCTGAGGCAGGAGGGTCACAAGTTCAAGGTGTCGGCAACGTAGAAAGACCTTGTCTCGAAATAAAAGATAAAAAGGGCTGGGGATGTGATTCAATAGTACAGCATCCCTGGGTTCCATCCATAATATCACCCCAAAGAAAAAAGGAATGAAGAAATGAAAGGAGACAAAGCAAAGCATGCAAAAATAGGCGCTCTTTTCTCTCCTAAGATGGCATAAAGTTCATCATCTGATCCAGATGGCTACGTGGAGGGACGTCCAGCTTGCTTGTGGGGTCACGGCCCACCGTGGAGCTGCCAACGTGAACCTTGTGCTGTTCTTCAGGGTCTCGCTTTCTTTTCTCCACATAGGTCTGGTTTCAGAATCGCAGAGCTAGACACAGATTCCAGGAGAGACCAGAACTTAAGGAGGCTTTGGAATCAAGCCAAGGCCCTGGGCGAGATCGACTTCCAGAACAGATGCGAAGTAAGCAGCCTGTGCAGATCTGTCTCCACAGGGGAGCCAGCTGCTGCCAGGAGCAGGGACACAGCAGGCCTGCACTGTGGGCCGTGGACACTCCTGCAGGCCAGCTGCCGGGGAGGCCGACCCTGTCTCACACACACACAAACACAAGCAGGAGGGATGCAGCTGGGTGGTAGCCAGGGTCCGGCAAGGCCCTGGAGGTTCTGCCCTGCCCGTGGGTCACCGTGGCCCCCTGCTAATCTTCTCCCACCCACCGTAGGTGAGGAGGCCCGACGGTGCCGCACCACCTACAGCCCCTCTCAGCTGCACACCCTCACCAGGGCCTTCAGGAACAACCCCTACCCCGGGATCCATTGCAGGGAACAGCTTGCGAAGGAAGTCGGAGTTCCTGAGTCGAGAGTCCAGGTGAGTGATGAGGCCTGCGGCTGCTCCGTGTCCCAGAGGGGAGACGTGCAGGAGGACAGCCACGCCAGCCTGGCCACTGCACTCCACCGCAAGGCCCCCAGGGCCAACTGCCTGGTTCTGCCCCCCAGCCCCTGCCCTCGGGGCTGGTCCCTCAGCCCCTGCTGGTAGTTCTTCTTTTTACCCAGCCCCATCCCAGACCTTTTCTAAATTTTATTTCTGGAGGTAGTCTTGATAAGGATCAAACTTGAGGTCCTCCTGCCTCGGCTTCCAGAGCAGCCGGGACTGCGGTGTGCACCACGTGCCTTGCCTAGGACACGCACGGCGAGGGGAGGCGGCGGCCGTGGAGCCAGGGTTCCAGGCCTCGGGAAGGACTGCACCTGTGACGAGGGCCCTGGGGGCTTTCAGGACAAGAGCCTGTCACCAGATTGGGACAGGACTGGAGGCCAGGTTCAGAATTGGAGTTTTATTTTCAGGCTTAAGGAACTTTCACAATGTTACAGGAATGGGCAATGGTGATCTGTGATCAGGCCTGCAAGGAATCACCTGTCCCTCTGGTTTGCCTTAAGAAGCAACTGCAAATTTATATGACGTCCACTGTTTTAATCAAAATCCTTTGATTTACTCACTTAGATTTGGTTTCAAAATAGAAGATCTAGATTACGTGTGCAGAAAAAAGAAGAACCCAACGAAACCTTCGAACACGGCCAGGGACGAGATCTCTCACACGGAGTTCAAGGTAGGTGGCTTTTGGGTCCAGCACAGCACAAGGCAGGAGCCCCCTGTGGGTCCATGCCTCCTGAGGGTGGGGCCAGCCACTCCCCCCGGGGAGGCGGAGGACACCCCCACCCCAGCTCTCAGGGCCCAGAATCAGGAGGTTGACACAGACCCTAAAAGTTCTTTCCACCTCTGGGGAGCTTCCAAGGAATTCCACTGCCCACTTGTACAATGAGCCTAGCAACCCCATTTTTTAAAATATGAATTTTGGCCTGGGTGTGGCAGTGCACGCCTGTAATCCCAGCAACTTGAAGACTGAGGCAGGAGGATTGCAAGTACTTGACCCGCCTCAGGAGCTTGGCGAGAGGCAGGCTGCGAGGCGGCTTGCTAAGGCGGTAATAGGCTCCATGTGAGATTTGGAAGGAGCAAGGCTGACCTTCACGTCTGATTGTGAACTGGCCCCCTGTTTTTCCTCCCCTGTCTCTCCTCCTGAGGTCTGGGAGGCACCTCTGAACATGGCACACCGGGAGCCCAGCCTTGCAGGAACCTTCCAGATCTCCACCACAACGGCCATGTTGACGCTGAGCAGCTTCCTTCACCCACTGAAGAGCGCTGTGCTGGTCCCGCATGACAGGCACTGCTGGTGTGCCTCGTCCTCCGCCCTCTCAACCTCCGTTAACCAACGCCCGAGAGCCAGGAAGGCAGGAAGCCTGCCTGGGAAGATCCTGGGGGGTCTTGTTCAGGCCAGAGCAGAGCTCAACTCTGACCTCCCGTGGCCAAGGGTCCTGCCACCTGCCTCGGTGGCCACTGAGTGGGGGGCAGGCACCAGGGAGGGGCCTGGAGACGCACTTGCAGTACCTGAAGTACCGTGGGCAGCCCTGGAACACTTCCCACAGGAGTCCCACGGCACCGGCTTCCGGCAGCGGAGCCAGATCTCGGTGGACACAGGCAGACCCAGCTGCCTGGCATCGCCAACATGGCCCCGGGCTCTTCAGTCCTCCTGGGAGTGTCCCCTGCTGCTGGGACTTCCAGCCAAAAATAAACAGTCGTGGTCATTTCTCAGTCCTCACAGTCATGACCTGAGGCAAAATCATCGACTCATGTGAAAACCATAAGACGAAAATTTGAAGAATAAAATCTGTTCACCATCGGGAAGAAGTTCCTCACTCACCATTTTTTTTTTTTTAGTTAAAAATATAAAAATTGAACATGGTTATGGAGGAGCATGTGATTTCAATACGTATGCATTGTGCGATGTTCCAATCAGGGCAACGTCTCTCTGCTTAAACTTTATTGTATTTGTGCTGAAATGTGCACTATCTTTCCTAGTTTTTTTAAACATACAGAGCATTATATTTTATTATCAATTATCACCTGTAATTGTCCTACTGTGTCACAGACACCAGAACTCACCTCCTAACTGGCTCAGCATGCACTGGCCAGCCTACCCACCCACTCCCTTCCCTCCGCAGCCTCAGCTGTCCACCATTCTACTCTCAACGTGTGTGTGTGTGTGTGTGTGTGTGTGGAACAGGAACTGAACCCAGGGGTGCTTAGCCACTGAGTCACATCACCACTCTTTTCTATTTTTTAAAAATTGTCTCACTAAGTTGCGGAGGCTGACCTTGAATTGTGATCCTCCTGCCTCAGCCTCCCAAGTAGCTGGGTTTACAGGTGTGTGCATCATACCCAGCTCTACTCTCAACTTTTATGAAGTCAACTCTTTGAGGTCCACATGAGTGTGGTCATGAGTAGTTTTTCAGAGCCTAGTTTCTTTCACTTATATAATGACCTCTAGTCCCATCCACGCTGTTTCAAATGGCAGGATTCCCTCCTTTTGTATGGCTGAAATAGCATCCCACTGTATGATCTACCACGTTTTCTCCATTGCCCCATCAACTGGTGGGCGTGAGGCTGGTTTGGTTTCCTGGCTGCTGTGCTAACAGTGCCGCAAGGAACACAGAAGGGCAGGTGTCTCTTCAATGAACTGATTCAGCTTTATTTGCACGTACCCTTGGTAGTGGGGTTGCTGGAATACGTGGAAGCTCTATTTTTATTTTAAGGAAATGCCACAGTTTTCCATAAGGGCTGTGTGTTACATTCCTACCCACAGTGGACAGGGGCTCCTTTTCCCCACTCCCCTGTCAGCACTGGTCATCTTTTGGCCACCCTGGGCATCTTTGTGAGATTCTGTTCCCCCCAAAATAATAAAGCTTGGGATATAGATCAGTGGTGGAGTGTTTGTTGGCAAATGTGAAACCCTCAGTTCAATCCCCAGCACAGCAAAATAAAAAAAAATACCTAGGAATAAATTTAATCAAAGAGGTAAAATATCTCTGTAATAACACTATAAAACATTGAATGAAATTGTGAAGATTACAAAAAAGGAAAGATATACCATTTTCATGCATTGAAAGAATCCATACTATGAAAGTATCCATGACACCCAACGTGATCTAGATGTTCACTGCAGTCTTTCAATGACAGTCTTCATACCCTAAAGCTTGTGTGGAACCACAAAAAATAAATGATGAAAGTGATTTTGTTTTGGGGGGGCATATCAGGGATTGACTTCAGGGGAACTTAACCACTGAGCCACATCCCCAACCTATTTCTGTATTTTATTTAGGGACAGGGTCTCAAAAAATGAGTTGCTTAGGGCCTTGCTAAGTTGCTGAGGCTGGCTTTGAACTTGTGATCTTCCTGCCTCAGCCTACTAAGCATTGGGATTATAGGTGTGCACTGCTGCACATGACCTCAAACTAACCTTGAGCAAAAACATGAAAGTCATCACTCTGCTTGTATTAAAAATATGCCACAAAACACGGCTTCACTATGTTTCCCAGGCTGGTCTTGAACCTGGGCTAAAGTAAATCCGGCCTCAGCCTCCCAGGTTGCTGGGACTACAGGTGCATGGCACCACATCTGGTCCTGGGGCCTGAACCCAGGGTCTTGTGCATGCTACACACTCACCATCCCACTGAGTTACATTCCCAGCCTATAAGGTGTGTGAGGGGAGTGTATGGGTGTGGGGGGGGTTGTTGTTTATGTTTCATACTGAGTGTTGAATACAGAGGGGCTTTGCACTGAGACACATCCCCTGTTTATTTTATATTTTTTAGTTGTAGGTCAACACAATAACTTTATTTTATTTTTTATATGTGGTGCTGAGGATGGAACCCAGTGCATCACACATGAGAGTCGAGTGCTCTGTCCCTGAGCCATGTCCAAAGACCTACTTTCAGCAGTTTTTAATATTTATTTCAAAGGAGAGTCTTGCTGAAATTCTGATATGGGACTTGAACTTGGGATCCCATTTCCTCAGCCGTCACAGTCACTGGGATTACAGGTGTGTGCACATATATCCAGCCTCTAATGTCCATTAGAGAACAAAAAAAGCTTCATATTGCTATGAACATTTATAATTCGGGATTAAAGAATTCAACATTGAGAGGAAGACTCACTGAATGGTGGATACTTGTTGTCTTTGCAGTGCTGGGAATTGACACAGCATCCATGTATGCTGGCAAGACTCTCCCACGGAGCTACACGTCCAGATCTGAAAGAGGATTTTAAATTGTAAATCTATATAATATTCAGAAATAAGAGGACACAGGTGCACAACTCAAGTTAGAACTGCTCTGGAATGAAGTATATGGTGTTCACGTTAGAACTGCTTTAAGGTACGGAATAAGGTGTTCATTTTAGAAGTGCTCTGGGAAAAGGGGTAAGGTGATCATGTCAGAACTGCTCTGAGGTGAGGTGTAAGGTGTTCATGTCAGAACTGCTCTGAGGTGAGGTGTAAGGTGTTCATGTCAGAACTGCTCTGAGGTGAGGTGTAAGGTGATCATGTCAGAACTGCTCTGAGGTGAGGTGTAAGGTGTTCATGTCAGAACTGCTCTGAGGTGAGGTGTAAGGTGTTCATGTCAGAACTGCTCTGAGGTGAGGTGTAAGGTGTTCATGTCAGAACTGCTCTGAGGTGAGGTGTAAGGTGTTCATGTTAGAACTGCTCTGAGGTGAGGTGTAAGGTGTTCATGTCAGAACTGCTCTGAGGTGAGGTGTAAGGTGTTCATGTCAGAACTGCTCTGAGGTGAGGTGTAAGGTGTTCATGTCAGAACTGCTCTGAGGTGAGGTGTAAGGTGTTCATGTCAGAACTGCTCTGAGGTGAGGTGTAAGGTGATCATGTCAGAACTGCTCTGAGGTGAGGTGTAAGGTGTTCATGTCAGAACTGCTCTGAGGTGAGGTGTAAGGTGTTCATGTTAGAACTGCTCTGAGGTGAGGTGTAAGGTGTTCATGTCAGAACTGCTCTGAGGTGAGGTGTAAGGTGATCATGTCAGAACTGCTCTGAGGTGAGGTGTAAGGTGTTCATGTCAGAACTGCTCTGAGGTGAGGTGTAAGGTGTTCATGTTAGAACTGCTCTGAGGTGAGGTGTAAGGTGTTCATGTTAGAACTGCTCTGAGGTGAGGTGTAAGGTGTTCATGTCAGAACTGCTCTGAGGTGAGGTGTAAGGTGTTCATGTTAGAACTGCTCTGAGGTGAGGTGTAAGGTGTTCATGTTAGAACTGCTCTGAGGTGAGGTGTAAGGTGTTCATGTTAGAACTGCTCTGAGGTGAGGTGTAAGGTGTTCATGTTAGAACTGCTCTGAGGTGAGGTGTAAGGTGTTCATGTTAGAACTGCTCTGAGGTGAGGTGTAAGGTGTTCATGTCAGAACTGCTCTGAGGTGAGGTGTAAGGTGATCATGTCAGAACTGCTCTGAGGTGAGGTGTAAGGTGATCATGTTAGAACTGCTCTGAGGTGAGGTGTAAGGTGTTCATGTCAGAACTGCTCTGAGGTGAGGTGTAAGGTGTTCATGTTAGAACTGCTCTGAGGTGAGGTGTAAGGTGTTCATGTTAGAACTGCTCTGAGGTGAGGTGTAAGGTGTTCATGTCAGAACTGCTCTGAGGTGAGGTGTAAGGTGTTCATGTCAGAACTGCTCTGAGGTGAGGTGTAAGGTGTTCATGTCAGAACTGCTCTGAGGTGAGGTGTAAGGTGTTCATGTCAGAACTGCTCTGAGGTGAGGTGTAAGGTGTTCATGTCAGAACTGCTCTGAGGTGAGGTGTAAGGTGTTCATGTTAGAACTGCTCTGAGGTGAGGTGTAAGGTGTTCATGTCAGAACTGCTCTGAGGTGAGGTGTAAGGTGTTCATGTCAGAACTGCTCTGAGGTGAGGTGTAAGGTGTTCATGTTAGAACTGCTCTGAGGTGAGGTGTAAGGTGTTCATGTCAGAACTGCTCTGAGGTGAGGTGTAAGGTGTTCATGTCAGAACTGCTCTGAGGTGAGGTGTAAGGTGTTCATGTCAGAACTGCTCTGAGGTGAGGTGTAAGGTGATCATGTCAGAACTGCTCTGAGGTGAGGTGTAAGGTGTTCATGTCAGAACTGCTCTGAGGTGAGGTGTAAGGTGTTCATGTCAGAACTGCTCTGAGGTGAGGTGTAAGGTGATCATGTTAGAACTGCTCTGAGGTGAGGTGTAAGGTGTTCATGTCAGAACTGCTCTGAGGTGAGGTGTAAGGTGTTCATGTCAGAACTGCTCTGAGGTGAGGTGTAAGGTGTTCATGTCAGAACTGCTCTGAGGTGAGGTGTAAGGTGTTCATGTCAGAACTGCTCTGAGGTGAGGTGTAAGGTGATCATGTCAGAACTGCTCTGAGGTGAGGTGTAAGGTGTTCATGTCAGACCTGCTCTGAGGTGAGGTTTATGCAGGCTTTGGATTGGCTCAAAACGCATTTGGGCTCTGAATCTTGGGATAGCCGCAGTCTGGACACAGAAGGTAATGTCCTCGTCACTTGCCGTGAAGCTTCATAGTCCGTAGGTCGGTATGTGGCCAGGGGAGAAGCTTTGCCCTGAGAGCCCCTGGCTGTCCCCCCCCACCTGGGGAATGTGTGACAGGACAAGAGGGTCAACAAGGCTGCAGCCATCCTGCCAAAAGGTCTTGCAAGAGCAGAATTTGAGCTGAGTGCGGAGGCTCTGCCTATGATTCCAGCAACTTCCGAGCGTGTGCCAAGAGGTGTGCACGCCGTGTCCTGCCTCACCAAGGCAGTGAGCGCTGGACTCAGAAAGTAAAATGGATGGTGGTGTCACTCAGCGGCTGGGCATTCAATCCCTGGTCCCCCGAAACAAAAGTGGAATGTTCTACCTGGGCAAGGCGGTCCTCTCCTCTCTTCCCTGAGACTTGAGAGGCTGAGGCAGGAGGATCCCAGGTTCCAGGCCGCCTGGGCAATTTAGCAAGGCTCTCAGCAACCTATAGAGACTCTGTCTCAAAAGAAAAAATAAGAACGTCTGGGGAGGTGGCTCAATGTTTTAAAGCCCTTGTGACAAGCAAACAGACGCTCAGTGGAGCAGAGTACGGGCTGAATGTAATCTACCTGTAGACTGCTTTGGACAGCATGGAATTTCTCATTTGATATTTTTGTAGTTGTCGATGGACAACATGCCTTTGTTTTATTTGATTATTTTCATGTGATGCTGGGGACAGAACCTGGTGCCTTACCCATGCCAGGCAAGCGCTCTGCCGCTGAGTCCCAGCCCCAGGCCCTCATTTTCATTTTTATATACAAGTTTTTATTAGTTTAACTCAAAACTTTGTTCTCTCTCTCTCTCTCTCTCTCTCTCTCTCTCTCTCTCTCTCTCTCTCCTGGGATTGAGTCCAGTGGTGCTCTACCACTGAGCCACACTGCATCTTTTTATTTTGAGACAGGGTTGTGCTAAATTGCTGAGGCTAGTCTCAACCTTGTGATCCTGAGATCATAGACATGAACCACCATCTCCACCTTGTTTTCTGATTTTTTTTTACGTTAAAATTAATGTCGATGAGGTTAAAAAACACAATATCTTGTGAGTTTTTCACTTTGCCTGAACTTAATTTCAATGGATTTTCCATTATCTGGATAGATCATGGTTTTCTCCGTTACTATCTCCACTTTTTTAAATTTGTTAGGCTGAAGCTCCGTGGCTGGGAGGTTCACTGGCACCAAACCCAAACAGACTGAGCCAAAACCCCGAAGCTGAGTACATCAGTTGAAGATGAAGATTTTTGCTTCCTGGCTTTCTTCACAGGTGGTGAGGACCCCAGGGCCCCCAGGTTGCTCCTCGTACTGGGCTGTGCCCACAGCCAGGATTTTCATTTCATGTATTTAGCAGTGTTAGGACTTGTTTGAAGACAGGCCTCTCTAAGTCGCCCAGGCGGGCTCGGAGCTGGTGACCTTGGGGGCTCAGCCTCCCAGCAGCAGGGATCACGGGTGTGGGCACCAAGGCCACTTCAACAAAGGCTGCTGAACCGGGGTCTCACGGGCTCCCCCACCGAGCCGCACCCCAGCCCTCAGAGCCAGGGGCTGTTTTAAATGCCCAATGAGAATAGGTTGGATGGATTTTAAAATCCATCACAGCTCCTAGCCAGGTGCGGTGGGGCCGGCCTCTCATCCCAGCCCCCGGGGAGGCTGAGGCCGGAGGATGGAGTTTGGGGCCATCCTGGGCAATTTAGCCGACCGGGTCTCAAAGTAAGTAAAAAGGACTGGGGCTGCGGCCCCCGGCAGAGCCCCGCCAGGTTCAAGAAAACCGGAACTCTGGGGGAAGTTTCTGTTTGGGGAAACTGAGGGAAGAATTGGGGCTGGGAGGGGCCGACGGGATCAGGCGGGGCTGGGGCCGGGATCCGGGTGGGACGCAGGGGGAGGGACTGATGGCGCTGGTCTGGGTGGTTCGGCCGCTCGGTGAGAGCACTCACTTCATTTCCCGCCTCCGAGGAGGCTCCACTCCTTCCCCAAGCCCGGAGCCCGCCTTCCAGAGCGCCCCGCGGTTCAGCCAGGTTTTCTGTTTTGTGCTTTGGGTGCGGGATTGACCCAGGGGCGCTCGGCCGCAGGGCCAGTCCCCAGCCCCATTTTGTACTTCGTTTAGAGACCGGTCTCACTGAGTGCTCAGGGCCTCGCTGAATTGCTGAGGCTGGCTTTGAGCTCAAGATCCTCCTGTCTCAGCCTCCCCAGCCGCGGGGGATTACAGGCGTGCGCCCAGGCGCCGGCTTCATTTCTCTTCGCTACCGGGATGGCCTCGACTGCAGTCCTCCCTCCCTAGCCTCCGGTCACGGGGGTGGGGGGTCCCAGGCCTGCACCACGGGCCTGCAAATCTGCGCTTGGCAAGGAGCCGCCTTCCGGTCCCACTCCGGCTGCCCGGGCCCCGGCGGGGTCTCTGCTCCGAGCTCCCGCGTGCCCCCCCCCCCCGTCTTTGCGGGGCTCCCTTCAGAGGAGCAGCTGGGCCTCCGCTCGGCCTCCGCGGTTCCGCTGGGCCTCTCCTCCCCCCGCAGCCGGTCCCCCCCAGGCCCGGCTCACTCTGTCGCTCTGTCTTGCAGGAGACTCCCCCTCGGAGCCTGGACCGTCCTGCGGCCGTCGAAGCCGGGCGGGCCCACGTCTGCCGGCCGGTGGCCTCCGCTGGGCCTTCCCAGGTGAGACCTCAGCTTTCTGATCCACCTTCTGGGTTCCTTGTCCTTTTTGTGTGTGACCCCCCAGTGTCCCCCGGGGAGGCGGCGTGGCGGGCTAGAACCCGATGGTATTCCTAGCTGGGCGTGGCTGGGAATGCCTGGAATGACTGACGCTGGGAGGCCGGGAGGCGGGGAGGCGGGGAGGCCGCGAGGGAGGATCAGCAGTTTAAGACCAGCCCCAGCCACTTAAGGAGACCCTGGGTCAGAATACAACTGACAAAGGGGTGGGATGCAGCTGGTGGTAAGAGCACCCCCGCCTTCAACCCCAGCACACAAAAAAATGTTTTTAGAGGTATTTTTTATTCTGTTTTCTATTTGTTCTTGTTTCTTTCTGATTTTTGTTTGATTTTCAAATTGTGTTTTTAAGGTCATTGATTTCCATGACAGTTTCGTTTTTAGATTTCTGGAGATATGTCCATTGATTTTTAAATTTTTACTTATTTCTACTTCTTTTAAAAATGTATTTATTGATATCGGGGATTGAACCCAGGGGTGCTCTACCACTGAGCCACACCCCCAACCCTTTTTATTTTTATTTAGAGACAGGGGCCAAGTTGTCGAGGCTGGCCTTGAACTTGTGATCCTCCTGCCTCAGCCTCCTGAGTCACTGGGATTACAGGTGTGGTGACCACGCCTGGCTCTAAAGCCTTTCTTAGGTGTCAGTGCTGACCCACCGCGGATCCTGGGGACGAGTCCCTGGTGCCCTCTGGGTGGGGCGCAGGGGCGGGCCTCCGCGGCTGGCCCCCGGGGGAGCAGGTCTTCCTGGGTCTTGGGTTTGCAGCGTGGCCTCTCCTCCCGCCGTTACCGAGCCTTTTGAGAGCTGTTCGGTTTCCTTTGCCTGCTTCTCCCTGCACCTCCGTCCCAGTGTGGTGACTGGGGCATTAACCCCGGCTGGCCACCCCCGTGGGGGGCAGTGACCAGTGATGACCCTGCGTTTGGCCTTGAAGCCGCCCCTGGCACTGGAGTCCTCTCCTGACCGCGGCTGTCCTCCACTCCAAGTCCTTGACAGGAGTCTCCTGTGCCCCTGGAACTCCAGGGGACTTTCGGCAGAGTCTGCCTCCGTGGCCGTGAGTGACTGTGACATGCGGTGGCAGTCACCAGTGCAGGGGGCTCTGCTGTGCAATCGTCTCTTTAATGATTCCAGCTTGCCCTGCTGTTAGGGGGAAACGTCTGTGCCTTTAGAATAAGGAGAGAAATCACCGTTTGGGGGAGCGGGGAGCTGGCCATGTTGGGGATGCAGTGTCCAGAGGAGGCACCCTGGCTGGATGAGTTCCTAGTGCGTCCCCTCTCCAAGAAGCCACTCAGACATAAAGGAAGGGACGACGTGGCCGTGCTGGCAGTCCCCGCAACTCAGGAGGCTAAGGCAGGAGCCCAGGAGTTGGGGGCCAGCCTGGGCCACTTAGCAAGACCCCATCTCAGAATAAAATTTATAAAAGCGCACCAGATGGCCATGCTGAGCACCTTGTGGTTTGCAGGGAAGAATTTTTCCTTGATGTAGCTGGGTTTAGGACACTGGGACTTAACTGAAGGACTGTCTTTTGTTGCTATCTTGTTTTGTCTTGTTTTTGTGGGGGTTTTTTTGGCCCCGGGGGGACTGGGGAACTAGGGATTGAACCCAGGGGTGCTCTACCCCTGAGCTACATTTCCAGCCTTTTTTATTTTGAGACAGGGTCTCACTAAATTGCCAAGACTGGCCTTAAACTTGCCATCCTCCTGACTCAGCCTCTCAAGTCACTGGGATTACAGACGTGGTCACTGTGCCTGGCTCATTCCATAAAATTTTAATATATTGCTGCATTTTATTAGAAGAGAAAACCAGGCCCAGAAAGGTTGACAAGCTTGCCCCAGGTCATCCAATTAATAAGCAAAGGAGCCAGGTGCAGTGGCACACACCTGTAATCCCATCAGCGGGGGAGGCTGAGGCAGGAGGATCATGAGTTCAAAGCCAGCCTCAGCAAAAGCGAGGTGCTAAGCAGCTCAGTGAGACTCTAAATAAAAATACAAAATATGGCTGGGGATGTGGCTCAGTGTCAAGTGTCCCTGGGTTCAGTCCTGGTTTCAAAAAACAAAGAAGTGGAGTGTGAATCTGAATCCAGACAGAGATGTGTCCTAGTGTAGCCCTGCGGGCTGGGGTCCCGGGCTTTGACCCCCTTGGAGCCGCTTTTCCTGCTTGAGGCCCCAGACCCTGTTGGCAGCTCCCGCCCTGGCCCTTCCAGCATCCAGAGGCTCTGCCCACGACCCTTCTCAGGTGGTCTGCCCGGGAAGGTCCCACTGCACGAGTGCTCTTCCTCAGTCCCCTGAGATGTACATGAACCCACTATGCCCCGAGTTTTCAATTCTGAAAATATTTTGATGAAATTGACAGAGCTGCATTAAAGTCAGTTGGAAATCATCTAGAGCTTATGTCTTACACTAATATCTATAATTATTTTCTTAAACGATCATGTTGAGTATTACATGCTCTATTTATGTTTGGGGGTCTCGTTTGTTTGGGTGCTGGGGCTTGAATGCACGGTTGCTCTATCACTGAGCTGCACCCTTAGCCCTTTCAGTGTGTTTATTTGGGGACAGGGTCTTGCTAAGTTGCTGAAATCGAACTTGAACTTGTGATCCTCCTGCCTCAGCCTCCCAAGTTGCTGGGATGATAGGTGTTCCACCTCTGGGACAATGGGACAAAATGTGGCAGAAGGGGTTAGATCACTGATTCTTTGTACTGGAATTCAACCCAGGGGTGTCTCACCATTGAATCACACCCTCAACCCTTTTTTTTTTTTTTTTTTTTACGGGAGCCTGGAGAGTACCAGGGATTGAACTCAGGGGCGCTCAACCACCGAGCCACATTCCCAGCCCTGTTTTGTGTTTTATTTAGCGACAGGGTCTCACTGAGTTGCTTAAAGCATCACTTTTGCTGAGGCTGGCTTTGAACTCGCGATCCTCCTGCCTCAGCCTCCTGAGTCACTGGGATTACAGGTGGGCACCCCCACGCTGGGTTTAGGTCAGTGATTCTTCCATGGTGCTTCCTAGGGGGCATCTGCGTTTTCTAGAGACATCTCTGTGATGACAAGTGGTTTATACACTGGTGGCATGTAGGGGTGTAGGGCAGGGTCACTGCTCAACATTCTACAGTGGACAAGACAGTCCCTCACTACAGAATAGCCCCATCCAAAATCCCAGTAGCCCCAGAGTTGAGAAGTCCTTGTTTACACCCATTGAAAACATCATCCTTCCATATCCTAAATTATGGATTCTTTTTCTTTATTTTTTTTCCTACTAAAATACATTAATGAATGAAAATGCAGTTAACCTGTTAGTAAGTGACACTTAGGAGAGATTCGTAACGACCAGTTCTTTCATTCCTACAGGAAATGCCTGGTTTCCTTCTCCCCGGCCCAAATGCTAGCACATAAAGAGCCTCTAGGTAAAATGCAGTCTCCATAGTGAGCAGGAAGCCCTGGCTTCACCTGCTGGGCCTCAGGGACCCCACCCCTTTCTGCCACGCCCCTGCAGAGCCAGCCTCAGGTCTCTCTGCCACACTGCCCTCACTCTCCAGGGACGAAACCAAACCCCCTGAGCCTGGCAGCTCCTGAGGCAGGCGAGGTGGCTTCTGTTCTCCCCAGTCTTGCTGTCCGGCTTCCTGCCGCTGGACCTGGCCTCCTGTGTGCAGTGGAGGCCCTGAGCCTCTGCTCCCTGGGTGTGGCCTCGGCTCATGGGGGCCCAGATGGAAGGCCGTCCAGAACAGCTGGAGGTCACTGGGGTCCGCGCCCTCTCACAGGCACACTCACGGTGTCTCTGGACGTGGCCTCTGTTGGTACAGGTCTGGGGGTGGGTCTGCGAGCCGGTGGCTCTGTCCTTCCTTGTTGGCATCTTTACCAGCAGATGGGAATCATCGGGGCCGGGTTAGTGCTGAGAGAAATCTGTGCCTGGGAAACCGTCTCCCGCCCAGGCAGGCCGCACCATCCGCCCTGGCTGCCGCTGGTCTTGCTTCTTCCCTGGCCACGATCTCCTCGGTGACCTCACCGAGGGGCTTCCTGCCGTCACCTGATGGGCGTGACCTGTGGTCAGAACTGGAACAGGAAGACAGGCAAGCTCCCCGGGAAAGGCCTTACCTTTGAATCTTTTTTTCCGTTTTCATAATTATTTTCTTCAAGGCCAATGATTAGAAGTAGAATGGGTCGTAACTCTGCAGAGGTCTGGGAACTGCACGGCACAGCCCCCAGGGACATGGGTGACCGTGACAGCGAGGTCGCCTCTTCAGATGGGTCCTGGGGGCAGAAAGGCGGGAAACGCTGGGGCGCCCTGGGCCTCTCTGCACATGCTCTTGAGCATGGTGAGGAGGAAGGCGCTGGCCCTGGGCGCTGTCTGCAGGGAGCCCAGAGTGACCCTGGGTTTAGTGGCTGCTTTGTGTCTCCCTCAGCGCCTCCTTCCCCAGATTGTCTCAGCCTGAAGAGGCCAGGACATGAGCGCGTCCCAGGTGAGTCCTGTTCAACCCCGCCGTCTGGTCAGCGCCTCGCTCCCCCCAGGTCAGCACCGACCCTCCCAGCGCCTGGGCCTTCTCACGCTTGACTCCTTCCTACCAAAACTCCACACCTTCTGGCCGCCGCCTGCCCGGCGAGATGGCCCTTTGCTGAGGGCCAGGTGTGAAGTGTCCTCGCCCAGCTGGCAGCTGCTGGCCCCTGGCTGTGTCTTGGCATCTGAAGCGAGTTCCCGGCACCTCCTGGGGACACCCAAAGCAGAGCTGGCACCCAGGCACTGAGTCCTAGGCACCAGGCGGGAGAGGAAGCAAGTGGAGGCCGGTGTTGGGATCTGACCTTGGCAGAAGCCCGCTGACACTCAGTGCCACCTGGAGGCTCTGCCAGGGGGACAGCGTGTGCCGACTCCTAGGTGAAGGGAAAGCCAGGAAGGGAGGGGGCGGGAGAGAAATGAAAGACAGAGACCAGGCAGAGCTGAGACAGGAAGGCCGCCCGCCCTCCAGGAGAGAGGCAGGACAGGGCTGCGCTTCTGGGCTTCTAGGGGCAGGCTCGGGGGTCAGAGCCGGGGGCCCCAATGTGGAGGTGAAGGCTGCGGTTGGTATGGGGTGGGGTGAGCCTTTGTCACTTAAGATGGCCGTCCAGACCTGAGCAAGGACCTTCCCCGGGCCACGCTGAAGGACCGGCTTTGCAACGAGGCAGGGGCATGACATGCTGACTAGAACAGGAAGAGGAGCGGGAGGTGGCAGGGTGCACGGGGAGGGGCCCAGAGCTGCCGGGAAGGGCAGGCGGCAGAGGGCGGGCAGACCTGGCCTCCTGGTCTGATGGCTTCTCCGGGCTCACAGCCCCGCACCGGCCTGATGGAGACAGACTTCTGTGTCCTGGGTTCCAGGCCTCAAGGCCCCACAGTGTCCTTATGCAGAAGGGGAATCTGCCACCAGGAGGGCTGACCTTCGAGGACATCGCTGTGAACTTCACCCGGGACGAGTGGCAGGCGCTGAGGCCTGAACAGAGACGTCTGTACCAGGAGGTGACGCTGGAGAACTACCGCAACCTGGTCTCCCTGGGTGAGTGGGCAGATAGGAACTCACACACCTCACTCAACACACACAGACTCATACCCACAAACACACTCGTGATCACTCAACACACACAGACTCCTACCCACAAACACACTCGTGATCACTCAACACACACAGACTCCTACCCACAAACACACTCGTGATCACACAACACACACAGACTCATACCCACAAACACACTCGTGATCACACAACACACACAGACTCATACCCACAAACACACTCGTGATCACACAACACACACAGACTCCTACCCACAAACACACTCGTGATCACACAACACACACAGACTCCTACCCACAAACACACTCGTGATCACACAACACACACAGACTCCTACCCACAAACACTCGTGATCACTCAACACACACAGACTCATACCCACAAACACACTCGTGATCACTCAACACACACAGACTCATACCCACAAACACACTCGTGATCACACAACACACACAGACTCATACCCACAAACACACTCGTGATCACACAACACACACAGACTCCTACCCACAAACACACTCGTGATCACTCAACACACACAGACTCCTACCCACAAACACACTCGTGATCACTCAACACACGCAGACTCATACCCACAAACACACTCGTGATCACTCAACACACGCAGACTCATACCCACAAACACACTCGTGATCACTCAACACACGCAGACTCATACCCACAAACACACTCGTGATCACACAACACACACAGACGTCATACCCACAAACACACTCGTGATCACTCAACACACGCAGACTCATACCCACAAACACACTCGTGATCACACAACACACGCAGACGTCATACCCACAAACACACTCGTGATCACTCAACACACACAGACGTCATACCCACAAGCACACTCGTGATCACTCAACACACGCAGACGTCATACCCACAAACACACTCGTGATCACTCAACACACACAGACTCATACCCACAAACACTCGTGATCACTCAACACACACAGACTCATACCCACAAACACACTCGTGATCACTCAACACACACAGACGTCATACCCACAAGCACACTCGTGATCACTCAACACACACAGACGTCATACCCACAAACACACTCGTGATCACTCAACACACACAGACGTCATACCCACAAGCACACTCGTGATCACTCAACACACACAGACGTCATACCCACAAACACACTCGTGATCAGTCAACACACACAGACGTCATACCCACAAACACACTCGTGATCACTCAACACACACAGACGTCATACCCACAAACACACTCGTGATCACTCAACACACACAGACGTCATACCCACAAACACACTCGTGATCACACAACACACACAGACTCATACCCACAAACACACTCGTGATCACTCAACACACACAGACGTCATACCCACAAACACACTCGTGATCACTCAACACACACAGACGTCATACCCACACACTCGTGATCACTCAACACACACAGACGTCATACCCACAAGCACACTCGTGATCACACAACACACACAAAAGTCACTCACAAACTCACATTCATAATCACAACACACACAAACTGATAACCACACAAGGCTCACACTCACACAAGCTCCCACTCATTCACACAACACTCACAAACTACTTTCATAATCACACAACATACACAAGTCATTCACAAGCTCAAATAATCACAACACTAACACACAAATTCACATTCATAATCACAACACTAACACACTCATATAACACAATACTCTCACACTCACACAAGCTCACAATTGCACAAAACTTACAAAACTCATAACAGACTCACTCATGATCATATAACACAACTCATACACACAAACACACAGAAATTCATAGTCACACAATACTCACATATTCACACTCTTGCAGAAACTACAGTCGTAATCACACAACACTCACAATTCATACACACAAACTGTGTGACTGTGTGTGTGTGTGACTCTGTGTGTATGAGTTTGCACAAGTCACATAATATTCACATATTCACACTCATGCACAAACTACACTCGTAATCACACAACACTCACAATTCATACACACAAACGCAGATTCACACATCATCACACAACACTTACCCTCACACTTACACTCTTGTACAAACTCACACACACACACACACACAGAGTCACACACACCCTCACGTTTTCACATGCAAAAGCAAGCCTAAGTCCTGTGCTCTTCTCTCCAGGAGGAGAGGAGACCGTCAAGCCCGACGTGATCCTGAGGCTCGAAAGAGGCCAGGGGCCGTGGTCAGCGGAGGAGGCCGGGGCGCAGAGCAGCGGCGCGGGTAAGTGACAGGTGGCCACCGGCGCAGGGCCGGTAGGTGACGGGTGGCCGCCCGCCGGCTGGTTGTGCGGCGGCGCCCTCTGGCGGCGAATGGAGAACTTGTCACCTCCACAGCTCCATTCCCCGTGTCCCGGGGCTCTCCTCTGGCTGCTGTGACTCCGTTGTGTGTTGTGTCCTTCGAGATGGACCAGCGGCCTCAGAGGCTGAGCTGGGCGCTTGCCCCACCAAGTCTCCGGGCTCGGGACCCCTGCACCAGGGTGTGTTCATTCCAGGTCCCTGGCATTAGACGGATGTGGTGTGGACTTACAGGCTTTATTGGAGTTTCTCAGGATGCACTCCCATTTTTTCAGGGGCATTCGTCTCTGTGCTTGTGTTTCCCGCCCCGATTTCTCCAGTTCTAGTTCTCTTCGCAGACTCCCTATCGGGTTTTCCTTCATATTCGGACCTATTAAAGACCCAGGTGAACAAGCCGATTCAACAGTGCAGAATTATTCAAAAACAGCGATGTGTAAGCTCCGAAGTTCACTGTCGGCGAGCGTGGTGCAGACCGGCAGCCAGAGGCGGGCGGGGCGGGAGGCCGAGCTGGCTGCTGACGCTGGACCTGCGCCCCAGCCCCTGGCCCTCGGGTTTGGTTGAACACTGTTTGGCAGCACGGAGGACTGACCGGGGCTGTTCTGAGCTGCACCCCACCCTCCCCTCTTTGTGGCCGAGGATGGGACCCGCGGCGCTGACCGCAGGGCGTTTCTCTCCTGCCTCGGGGTCCCCAGAGGCAGAGTGGGCCCTGCCCCCGACCGTCGGTGGACGCCAGCGGGGCCACAAGGATCGGCGTTTCACCCCAGGCGCGGAGAGGAAGGCTCCAAGGAACTTCTCTTTGTATTCCCTTTTAGGAGAAGCCTGCCAGGTCCCGGGGCAGGTTCGGCGGCCACGGACCACGCCGAGGGCTCTCCGGCGAGAAGCTGTGCGCAGCGACAGGGCAGCGCTGACCCGGGGCCGGCCGCGAGGCTCGCGGCACCAGGAGAGGGCGCTGCCCAGCGCGGGGGAGGCTCCCCCGAGTCGCCGGCTCCCCCAGCGCGGCCCGGCCCGGCGCGGTCGGCCTCGGAAACGCGGTGTGGACCGGGAAGACGGCGCACGGAATGGCTCCCCTGAAGGTCATAGGGCTGGGAAGTTAAGGGGCCACGAACCGTTCCAGGCTGTGGAGAAGCCCTTTGACTGCGACGCCTGTGGAGAGTCGGCCTGCGGCCAGCGTCTGCGCCCGCGCCAGCCCGCGCCGGCCGCCGGGGAGAAGCGCCACCGGTGCGCCCAGTGCGGCAAGACCTACAAGCAGAAGCCCAACCTCGTCCAGCACCAGGCGACGCACGCCCAGCAGAAGCCCTACAGCTGCAGGGTCTGCGGCAAGGCCTTCGCCTGGCAGTCGGCCCGCATCAACCACGAGAAGACCCACAGCGCCGAGAGGGCCTACGGGTGCGGCGCGTGCGGCAAGGCCTTCAAGTTCAAGTCGGCCCTGGCGCAGCACCAGCGGGTGCACGCGGGCCAGAGGCCGCACCGCTGCGCCGACTGCGCCAAGGCCTTCGTGTTCAGGTCGGACCTGCTGCGACACCGCAGGACGCACACCGGGGAGAAGCCCTACAGGTGCACCGTGTGCGGGAGGGCCTTCGCCCAGAAGTCCAACGTCGTGGACCACGAGCGCATCCACGCGGGCGAGCGCGCCTTCGCGTGCGAGGAGTGCGGCCGCACCTTCAAGCAGAGGAAGAACCTGCTGCAGCACCGCGGCGTGCACACCGGGCAGAAGGCGCACGCGTGCGACCGCTGCGGGAGGGCCTTCCTGCAGAAGTCCAACCTGCGCAGCCACCGGCTGACGCACTTCGGGGAGAAGGCGCACCGCTGCGCCGAGTGCGGGAAGGCCTTCAGCCGCCAGCTGGGCCTCCGCCTGCACGGGAAGACGCACACCGGGCAGAAGCCGCACGTGTGCCCCCGGTGCGGGAGGGCCTTCGCCGACAGGTCCTACCTGGTGAAGCACCAGAGGAGGGTGCACCCCGGAGAGGAGCCCGCCAGTGACCAGGGCGGCCCAAGCCCCAAGGGGCCCGCAGTTTGACGGCCTCGCAGAGGGCAATGGGGACGTTGGCTTCTCCTTGGAAACTGATCTGATTAATGCAGTCAGCAGACTTCGTTTAGTTGTCTTTCTTTTTTTAGTTGCTGATGGACCTTTGTTTATTTCCTTATTTGTATGTGCTGCTGGGGATCGGACCCAGCACCTCACCCGTAGGAGGCAAGCGCTGTGCCGCTGAGCCCCAACCCCAGCCCCTGTTAGTTGTTTTTCGTTTGTTTATTTTGCGGTCGTTTTGGTTTTGGTTTGGTGTTTGGTCCTGGGGATTTAACCCAGGGGCACTTAACCACTGAGCCACATCCCCAGCCTTTTTTGTTTTTTTAAAGAATTTAACCTTTATTTTACTTACTGGTTTGTGTGTGGTTCTGAGGCTCAAACCCAGGACCTCACCTGTGCAAGGCGAGTGCTCTACCACTGAGCGACAGCTGCAGCCCCCCCCCCCCCAGAACTTTTCATTTTTTATTTTGAAATTGGGTCTCACTAAGTGGCTGAGGCTGGCTTTAAACTTTCCATACTCCTGTCTCAGCCTCAGGAGCCCCTGATTACACGGGGTGAACCACCACACCTGCCACTTAGCCAGCATTTTATTGAGGACCTCGTGTGTAACAAGCCTTGTAAATACCAAATGCACAGTAATAAACAGAATGTGCCAACCCTTTGTGGAATGTGTTCTTGTGACTGATGGCCAGCAGTCTGCGTGCCTTTGGAACCGAGGCACTTTCACTGATGGAGGATAATCACCACAGAATGTAACCAGATGGTCGTGTCAAAGATTCCCAGGCTCCTACGTGTCCTCTGGAGCTCTTCTGTTAAGTGAATGAAAGAAATTTAGAAGCCGAGGTGATTCCGTTGCCCCTTAGAAGCACAGAAGTTGGGAGAGGAGGAGGCAGGACGTGGTCTAACTGGGTCTCCCCCCTCCCCACCTCCTTGGCACTCATCTCACCAGGTTGGCAGGAGGAGAGCCCTGAGCTTCCCATTTCCTGGCACCCACCCTGTCACAGGCAGGAGAAAGGGTGAAAGGGGGCAGACAGGAAACCTGGGCTCCTCCGGGCTCAGGGCTGAGAAACTGGGCACAAGCCAGGCTCATCGCGGCCAGGCCGACTCGTGTGAGACCAGAGAGGGAAGAACTGACCGTGAGACACCCACTGCCTGGTGCCCAGACCCCACCAGAGAAGTGGGTGTGCACGGTGGCTGTTGGCCCAAAGAGCACAGGAGAGCTTGGGGACACCGGGGGCTGGTGACCGCAGCCTGCGTCCCACACAAACCCTGGCACAGCAGCCACCCCTGGGCCCCTCTCTGGGGAGCCCCGCTTTCTTTCTGTTAAACCCTGTCCCTTTGCTCTCCCCCTTGTGTCCATGGACTCCCCCCGATTCCTGAGGCGAGGAGCCTGACCCCACGCCGTGACTTACAGGAGGGTCCCTGGGTTTCTGCTCAGGTCTCCCACACATGCCTACTTAGCAGAGCCAAGGCCACATGGGGACCCCTGGGGTGCAAGGTGGCCAGGAAGGAGCACTTTGAGGACTGAGACCTAAGCGGTCTGCGTGACTCAGGGAGGTGAACTAAAAGGCAGATAAAGGGGCCTTGGTGGGCTCATCTCACCGCGCTCTCCGCAGATGCCCCCGTCAGCGGGGACAAGAGCACCTTCTGCCTGAGCAAGGAGGCCGTCCCCGTGCAGATGGACCGCCCACCCTCTTCCCCAAGGAGCTGCTCTGAATTCCTCCTTCCTTCCTCCAGGGTGCGGGTGGCAGCCAACACCTCAGGCAAGCACAGCAGCGCTGAGGTACGTCCCCAGCCTGAGGATTGTCCCTTCTGTGGCCCTGCCACTAAATACCAAGAAACAGCACCATATCCATCACAGCAAGGGAGAGGGGTTAGGACGGTGTGAGTGTCACCAGCAGAAGGCACAGAGGGAGACAGCACCTGAGAGGGCCATGGTGGTCACAGCTCCGCCCGTCCCGCCTCCTTGCTGTTGGCCAGTGTCTGCGGACGGACGGAGTGACTTCTGCTGGGTGGGGGCTCTCCTTGGCTCCGAGGACTGAGCCCTGCTTTTCTTGATCCTTCCTTCCATGGCACCGTCCCCGTGCTCTGCGGGGACAGGAGGCCCCAGGGGATCCTCTCAATCCAGGTGTGGGTCACTGTGTACCTTCTGGCCTCAGGAGGCCTACAACTGTGTGGGGTCGCTGTGAAGTGACCACCGTGGGTGGGACCCCTCCAGCCGCTCTCCCCGGCTTGTGGATTGTCCATCCTCCTCCGCTGACCTGTGTTTAGGGTCCTCCTCCCGTCCATCCCTCGTCTTCTGCTGGGAGCCATTAGCCAAGTAGGTATGACAATTTCCTTGCCAGCGTACCCCATGTTGCTGACATGTTGCAGTGACATTGAATGTACGTGACCTTGCTCAAGGACCAAGGCAGATTAGGGTGTTCCCGGTTTTAAGATAATCGTGTTTAGGGCGTTCCCAGTTTAGGTTCCAGGTTTAAGGTTTAAGATTATTCCTGCTGGGAATAGGGCGTATCCTGCTGCCTGAGTTCCCCTTGAGTTCTCACGGGATTCAGACAATATATTTTGGAGATAGAAGCCCAGTGGAGGTGGATTTGGGCAGAGAATGTGGATTTCCCCAGAACGTGATTGTAGACGGCTGGTGTGAGTTCGGGAATAAAGAGTTGCTGTTTGAATCTACAAGCTGTGTGGTGGCTCGTGACTGTGTGCCCAGCCAGACTGAGGCAGTCTTCCCTGGGCAGTGTCTGTCCAGAGTCCCTCTTACAAGGTGGTGCTGGATCGGGGACCGCGCTCATGGCCATGACCTCTGACTGGGAAGGCCCCACCACATTCTGAGCTGTCGGTGGTCAGGACTCCAGCCTGCGGACAGGCCACATGGGACAGGCAGCCCCCTTCCCTTTGGGCGACATTTGGGTCACGTGAGCAGGGATGGGTTAGAATGGGAGTGTCCCCACCCCTGGGCTGGATGGTGGAGGTGTCCCCACCCCTCCGGTCCCTGAGCTCCTGGACCAGGGTCGTCTGGCTGGGCCACTGCTGGGTGGGCCTGTGTGGGTCGAGTCCAGACCCCACACCTCACAAGTGGCACCATGGACTCTCCGTGGCCACCCTGCATTCCTTGACCCCAGGTGGCATGTAGGCTGTGGATCCTACGAGCATGTCCACTGCCTCGACCGGCACCTCCCTAGTCACAGGGGATGGTGTGGCATGCTGTGAGGGGGCAGGGGCTGTCCATGGGTGCCGGCCTCCAGTGCTACCGCTGGGCACCACCACCTGCCCGGAGCCCCGCCAAGTGTGCCCGCGGCTCCCCAGGTGCCCGTGCTGCAGCAGGGGGAGAAGCACAGGCAGAGTGTCGGAGGTGGAGGGACGAGGTGGGGACCTGGAGGACCGGGGTGGAACCCAGTCAGGCTGTGTAAAAAGGTCAGGTTGAATCGAGTGGTCAGTGCATTCTCAGGTGCTGCCCTCGAAGCCCTTTCTCTAACCTCTCTGTGACCTGATCAGTTGGAATGAACTAACAGGGGAGGGTGCGCCGGGCTCTGAGTGTCCCTGGGGCACTGCTGTGTCAGAGGACCTGGTCGAGCACCTGGGGTCAGGCTGCGGCTCTCAGTACCCCTGCCTTAGGTGAGGCTCCGCAAGGCCAAACGCACTCGGAGCGGGTAGGGGCAAGGCAGGCCAGCTGCACACAGACACACGCGGCTGATGAGTTGTGCTTATTTTAATTTTAATTATTGATGTAATTCACCAATTCCTGTATATACAGTATATGAACAAATTTATTTCATTGTGTGAGTCTTATAAGAAAATACACCAAAATATCACGAGTGGAATCATGGTAGATCTCTGTTTCCTTTTAAAAAATAATTTTCTTATTTTCCTCTTAAATGTTAAAACTCATATTTTAAAAAAGCCTCACACATATGTTCATGTGTCCCTGAGCGCTTTCCCTTCCTGCCCCCCCTGGCTGGTCTGGTCCTACAGTCTCTGCTCGGGGCTCTTCTGGTCCCCCCAGCCAGGTCCACTCAGGGTCTCTGGGCTGAGCGGCCTGTTTCAAAGGTGGGCTGTGGCGTGCGCGCCCCCAGGGCGGACTCCAGCTGCTGTTTCCCAGTGTTCCTGGGAAGACAGCCGAGCAGCAGGGGTACTCTCCACACGCACAGGGGCAGCTGCAAGAACAGTCGTCACACTCCAGGGAACTGGAACCCTGGGCCAAGGAATCCCTGACCCTGTGTTGACAGAATAAGCCCAATGAGTAGATAAAAATACTTTTAAAACGTTACATCACATCAAAATGAGATGGAAAAAAGGTATATTTGGTTCCATAATATAGTGAGATAACAAAAGTCTGAATCAAACTACAGAGAAAGAACTTCTGAAAACATCCCATATCCTTCAACACTCTGCCCGCCTCCCACACCACCCCAACGTGCCCACAGCTCCCAGGAGGATGCGGTCGCTGGCTGCTGAGCAAAGTTCACTAGTGATGAGCCAAGGCTCATGGACAACTCAGCCAATGGTGCACTCATCTGCTGGGTTTTTATTTTAATAAGTTTACAAAAGAATGATATGAATAAACTTAAGAAACCGAAAAATACAATGAAAATCCTTTTCACAACGTGAGCGATACATATATACAATGGCAAAACGAGGGCGATGCTCCCCACACTGAAGAGCGCTTCTCGAACTTTTAGGGCACCGCCTCTCCGAATGCTGGGCTCATTTCCCATTCTGAATCAGCCATTCTAGACGGGGATCTCAAAGTTTGCATTTCTTCTTCTCCTGGTACCGGGGATTGAACCCAGGTGTGTTTTACCACTGAGATACATCCCCACTGATTTTTATTTTTATTTTGAGACAGTGTCTTGCTGAGTTGCTGAGGCTGGCCTTGAACCTCTGATCCTCCTGCCTCAGCCTCCCTAGTCACTGGGATGACAGTCATGTGCCCTGTGCCTTACTTCAGATTCTGTATTTCTGATCAGTCCCTTGCTGCTACTAGGTTGCTGGTTCAGGAAGGATCTTTTCACACCATCCCATTAAAACGTGAGAAGCCATGGGTGCCGTGGCACAACATCTGTAATCTCAGTGACCTGGGAGGTTGAGGCAGGAGGATAGCAAGTTCAAAGCCAGCCTCAGCAACTTAGCAAGACAGTCTCTAAATAAAAAATAAAAAGTGCTGGGGATCGGGCTCAGAGTTTAGGTGCCCAGGATTCCATTCTCAGTACCCAAAACAATCACAACAAAAAAGCAAAACTCAAGCAGCACCATTTCTGACCTTGTAGGAGAGAAGGGTGCATCTCTCCCGAGTTATGAGATCCAGGTTTCTGTCCTCAGAATAAAACTTCACTTTGAGTCATGTGCTCCTACACTCTGGCCCAGCTCAGTGTTCTACCTCCTGAGAGGAAGTGGGACTGAGCAGGCCACAGGCAAGTTGGCTTACGTCACAAGTTGTCCCAAGGGGTCTCCTCTGAGTCGCTAAGTTTCTGGGAACCCGCTGTCATTTCCAAGGATGCCTCAAAAATCTCATTGTGCATGTAAAACAGTAGGTACCCCGTGCGCTTCCTGGCCTCCCACACCAGGGCCTCTGGGATCTGCGACACCTTCAGGTCATTGTGCAGGAACCACGCCTGCTGTTGAAAGTCGAACACGTCGCTGATGTAGTGGCCCGAGTCGTGGGAGCTCCCGACATGGCTGACCACGCTGACCAGCCTGTAAGCCGGAGGAGGACCTCCCGACCCCTCAGCGTCTGGTGCCCGGGCCTCGGGGATAGGGTCCTGGTGTTCAGGACCCCTGTCAGAACCCGACGCACCACAGTCGTCCTGGTCGGCTTCCGGAGGTCTGGCTTCTGTGGGTCCACTCGTGTCCTTCTCTGGACATCCCTGGACGCCCCCGGAGTTGGTTTTCTCACTGTTCTGAGGTTCTGCGTTCCCAGGCACCTCTGCAAGCACTGAGCGGGGGGTGCTGACTGGCTCCCCTCTGTCCTCATGAGGCAGGGGGCGGCCTTCCTCGGCCGCCGCGGAGTCTGCGGTGGCCTGTCCCCGCTCAGGCGCCCTGCGTCCGGGGTCGGTCTGCTGGGACTCCAGGCCTCCCTGCCGCTGGGTCCTGCCTGCTCCTCCACGTGTGCTCTGGACTCCTCGGGGCCCACGGGATGCGGAGCTCTGCGTCTCGGATGGCGAGGACAGGCTGGTGACCGCAGAAAGCGACTCTTGAGAGACGGCCTGCAGGTCGTTGGCGTCCCCCGCAGGCGCCCTTCTGACCACGGGGAGGGGCGGCTTGGTGTCTGCGCTGCACTGAGACGACAGAACCAAGGACGGGAGACGAGGACCCGCTGGTCATTCTTCACCGGCAGCCAGGCGTCGTCGAAGCTGTAGCGTTTGAGGTGGACAATGAGCACCCGGGGCAGCCTGTGCCGGCACCGCTCACACCTGGACTGCAGCTCCTCGGCCGCAAAGCAGAGGTCCAGCGCGGTCTGCACGGACAGAGGCGGCGGTTCGGTCCCGCGGTGCAGGTCCAGGGACAGGTGGTTGCTGGGCTCTGTCTTGAGGACCACCCAGCCACACGCTTGGCACGTGATGGAGATCTGCATCTCAAACTCAAAATTCGCACTAACAGGGCAGTGGGATGCTTGGGTGGCAGGGCTGCCGGCGCACAGCTCAGGGGCTGGGTCCCCCCCAGCCTCCCCGCTAGCGCTGCAGGTGGCCTTTAGATCCTCAAACTCGCCTTTGAGCTGCTGTAAACACTGGCCTAGAAATTCATGCGCGTCGTTCTGCTGGCTCCCCTGAAAGGGCTCCGCATACGCCGAGATGGCCCTTTTGAGGCTCAGGAGCAGCCCCTGCTTGGTCTCCACCTTGCAGAAATCTTTCAAAACCAGCAGCCAGCTCAGGGGCGTGAGGAGAGCCCCCGAGGGCGCTGTCCCCCAGGAGACGCCCTGCAGGAGCAAGCCCTCGACGAAGGACGGGATGGCCAGCAGCGCCTGCAGCACGGCGTTCATGTAGCAGGTGTTCCCCAGGTTGGGGAGGCCACGCCACGCCCACCTCGGCTCGGCCACCTTGTCGCGGGCGGCCTGGGCTTCCTGCCACCCCGGGTTGTCCCCGTCCGACTCCGGTGGAGACCCCAGACTTGTTCTGTCGGAGGGCGTCTGGGTTGGAGGCGCCGCCACGCGCAGGTCAGGCCCTGGGGTGGGGCTGGTCCCGGCTGAAGGCCCAGCGTCCTCCGAGTTTCTTTCTTTTCCTTCGTCGTCGTCTAAGCGCACGGGTCGCTCCCCGTTGCTTCCTGCATACTTCCAGGGCTGGGCCCGGCATTTCTTGCTGGGTACCAGGTCATCTTCTCCCAGGGTGTCCTCGCTCCTCTTCATCCTCTTCTTACCTTCACATTCTAGTAACCCTTTCCTACCAAGAGTCGGTGGTTTTGACATTAGCCAGGGCGTCTTCTGAGAAGGAAGGGTTCACTTCTGCTTTGGGTATGAAAGGACCCACAAAGTGGCTTGAGGCTGTAAAACAGGATTTTGTCAGCTACCGGACAGACCAATCACTCTCCAGTTCCATGGGATTTTGAAATCTATTTTGATGAAAAATGTCCAGAAATGCTTTCGATTGTTCAACCCCTATGTAGGATGATTTGCCAATGAATAACAAGGTCACGTCCTGCATCCAGTGAGGACACTGGCAATGTCATTGCTCAGCTGAGAAACCCACGCACTCTCCGGGGCTGGAAGTGACTGCCAGCTTCATTTCCTTTTCTCCTTCCAGCGAGTCAATGACGGTTCCTCTCCACTTCCTTGTCCCCGTCCTCTTGCTCCAAATTTTTGTTTGTCTTTGGAGGAAGCATCCTTTCTTTATAAATGAAACACTGTACCCTAAAGGACAAAAAGCACACACCTACATTTTAACCACCATGTTCTAGCCATGACGCTTGGTGTAAGACCCTATGGAATAACCATTTGCTATCGGTCTCAAGTCCCAAGTGAAAGTCGCTTTTGAGGAGCTGCTGACGTTCTGAAGCCATGCCAGCCTCTGGAACACATTTGCCCTCCTTTGGCCATTTTTAGTGCCTTATGAAGACGTGGTTAAAATGGACCTTTGTGCTGGTGCGGAAGGTACATCACCTCCTGACGGACCTGAGAGTGGAGGGTCTGACGTGCCCAGAGTCACTCACACAGCAGGTCTGAGGACTGGCCTCCTGGGGGCACAGAGGGCCACTCAGCAAGCGGCAGGGGGACACATGTGGATGTGGTGGAGGGCACACGAAGGTGCAAAGGAAGGAGAAGGCAGAAGATGAGACAGAGGGGCTCAAGGACACCGTAGTCCGCAGGGAGGAGCAAACCAGACCCACAGTGAGACGTCACCACAGCTGCTCTGACAGCCTGTATGGAGAAGTCAAGAGATGCTCAGTGTCTTCCGAGGAACCTCCATACTGCTTTCCCGAGTGGTTGCAAAACTGGGAATGGAACACCATTTGACCCAGCTGTCCCTCTCCTCGGTCTATACCCAAAGGACTTAAAGTCGGCACACTTCAGGGACACAGCCACATCAATGTTTATAGCAGCACAGTTCACAACAGCTAAACTGTGGAGCCCACCTAGTGCCCTTCAGTGGATGAATGGATAAAGAGACTGTGGTATCTAGACACAGTGGAATGTTACTCAGCAATAAAAAGAATAACATGATGGCATTTGCAGGTAAGTGGATGGAGTTGGAGAGTATCATGCTAAGCTTTGTAAAGTCAATCCCCAAAAAACAAAGGCCAAATGTTCTCTGATAAGTGGATGCTGATCCATGTGGGGGAGGCGTGGGAAAAACGGAGAAACTTTGGGCACAGGGAATGGCGGGATGGGAGGGGACCTGGGGCAGGAAAGGTGGTGGAATGAGATGACATCATCACCCAGGTACACGTCGGACTGCACATGTGGTGGGACGCTCCGTTGTGTACCACCAGAGAAATGAAAAGTCCTGCTGCACTTGTGTACAACGAATCAAAATGCATTCTGCTGTCATCTATGCCTCATTAGAACAAATCAATTAATTAAAAAAAGAGATACTCAGTGTTGATGAGGACCTGGAGAGAAGGGACCCTGGTGCTGTGGTGGGCTGCAGACAGACATGGCCATCCCAGAAGGGTCCCCAGTCTGAACCCCCAACAGACAGGTGCACGCCCTACTCCACTGATCCTTTTTTTCTCTTCCCTCCCCACCCTTTGTTTCTTTTTCTTTCTTCAGCTACAGAGATTTTTATCACAGGGGAGACTACCAGGGAGCTAGTCAAAGCCCATTTTTTTTTTGAGACAGAGTCCCACTAAACTTTCAAGACTGGCCTCAAATTTGCAATCCTCTCACCTCAGCCTCCCAAGTTACTGAACTGACAGGCATGGACCCTGCGCCCAGCTTGTACTCTATTTTCTACAATCCCCAAGATAGGAGATGGCCTAACTGTCCATCAACAGACGAATCGATAAGGAAATCCAGGTTGTTGTGAATATTATGGGGCCTTCACATAGAAGGAGCCCTGCCACTTATGAACAAAAGGACAACTTCAGAGGATGCTGTGGAAGAGAAGCAAGTCAGATAGAGGGTGAAAGCACCGAGTCATCTCATGGACGGGTAGAACCAAACTGGCAGGAGCAGAGAGTGGAGTGGTAGGTCCAGGATTGGGGGTGAGGGAGATGGGGCGGTGGCAAAAGGGGACCCATGCTCATTTCTAAGGTGAACAAGTTCTGGATCTCCAAGGTGCAGCACGGTCACGCCTATTGATGATGACACATTGCACCTTGAAGTCTGAGTCTGAGTAGATATTACGTGCTCTCACACACACCCACAAGAGGTGCACACGTAGCGATGGACAGATGCACCACCTTGACTGGGGAAATCATTCCCTTCTACAGTGCATTCACCCATCAACCAGATGCACAGCCTATGCCCACACGCAGCATCTGCCTGTCAGCTGCCCAACCACAAAGCCGGGGAGTGGAAAACATAGTGGGATGCACTTCAGGAGACGTGGGAGCCGCAGCATGGGCACAGCTCCTTGGCAGGGTGAGGCGGGAGCATCTGTTGAGCCCGGTGCAAAGCAGCCTGAGCAACAGCCGCAACCACAGAAGAGGGCACGAAGAGAAAGGGGTTCACCTCTCACGCCTGAAGCTGCCTCTGGGGTCCCGCAGCCCTCAGCAGTGCCAGGATCTGAAGCCATGGAGTGCCTGGGAGGTGGCAGAGGGAGCAGTGTGCCCCGAGTGGGCGTCCAGGATCAGACCTCCCTGTGTGGGGCTGGGACTGGCCTCGGGTGTTTTCACACCTGTGCAACTGGCTTAATGTAGCCAATTTGGTGAAGCTGCTCACAGGTCTCTGAATTTTCCATCCATAAAATGCAGATGTATAAGCCAGCCTCAGCAAGGGCCAGGCGCTGAGCTGCTCAGTGAGATCCTGTCTCCAGATAAAATGCAAAATGGGGCTGGGGACGTTTGGCTCCGTGTTTGAGTGCCCCTGAGTTCAATCCCCAGTACCAAAACAAACAAAAGAAAACCCCAAAACAAAAAAATCACAGACGTGTAGTTTCCCAGGGCATAAATGTAGCCTGTCCCTTCAATCATTTGAGTCCTCCTCAACCTGACCACTCACTCTGTGAGCCAACATTTCTCTTTACCGCAATGCGGTCTTCGCTCTTAGCCCCTCAATGTTCTAGCACCCACAAAGAGAGAGACTTAGTGCCTCACTGCCCGCAAGTCCGCTGCAGCAAGGGTTGCAAATACCACATGTCCATCACTTGACCTGCGTCTACCAGCTTTTCCTGAGGTTGCAGAAGGGTCAACGTGTGAAGGGAAGGAAACTAGGACACTGCTGGGAAATCAGGGAGGGAAGTAACTGGTGGGCATGGAGCCCGCAGGGTCAACCTGAGGGACAGGAAAGAACGAGGAGGCGAGGTGAGGTGCTGGGTGACCACTAGAATGGAGAGAGAGGGATGGAGACGATGGGGTGGGGGAGAGGAGAGAAGGAGGGAGGGAGAGAGAGGGATGGAGACGATGGGGTGGGGGAGAGGAGAGAAGGAGGGAGAGAGGGATGGAGACGATGGGGTGGGGGAGAGGAGAGAAGGAGGGAGGGAGAGAGAGGGAAGGAGGGAGGGAGAGAGGGAAAGAGGGGGAGAGATGGAGGGGGAGAGAGGGAGAGAGAGGCGGTGGAGGAAGGAGGAGGAGCACAGAAGCACCTGGAAGGGGACATGGATCCCCAAACAGAAAGCAGTTTCAGAAAGTTTCAAAAAATCCTCTCTGGAAAAAATTTTAAAAAGGGGTGGTGGGCATGGGTCTCTGAAATCAAAGAGAGAACAGTAATAAATAAATAGAGTAATGAATCAAAAATAATCATCAGGGGCTGGGGATGTGGCTCAAGCGGTAGCGCGCTCGCCTGGCAGGCATGCGGCCCGGGTTCGATCCTCAGCACCACATACAAACGAAGATGTTGTGTCCGCCGAAAACCAAAAAATAAATATTAAAATTCTCTCAAAAAAAAAAAAAAAAAACAAATGATAATGATCCTCTGAGGAGGAAGCACAGGGTGCGGCGCTCTCTGGAGCCCTGGGGCCTGTGTGCCAAGCCCAGGGGAGGAGGCCGGTGGTCTCCACGGGGTCATCTCTGAAGGCGTTTCTGAATGCCCCTCCCTGATCACACAGAGGAGATTACAACCCCGGGAGCAGCACTGAGAGATTTTCTCAGAACCCTGCCTCACTAGCTCCTCTGGCAATGTTTGATTGCTAGAGAAAACTCACACTTTATGAGGTTCTAACTTAAAAGCTGATCATGATCTTGTTTATCCTGCATTCTCAGCATCTTTAGTATGTTTTCTTGTTTCAAAGAAGCAGGAGAAAAGATGTATGAAGACCAGATGTCATACAATCCAACTGCCAGAGTTCAAAGCCTCCCTTCAGCACTTCCTGCTTCTGCCACACCCAACTCCTGGCTGGGGCTTGGTTTCTGATATGTCAGAGAGTTCTGCTGATGACCACAGCTCCTTGTTAGGTGACAATGTTGCAGGTGATTGTTTCACCACCACAGGCTCTTGTGTGTGTGGCCGGCCAAAGCTGCCCTCAAATTGAGATCCTCCTGCCTCAGCCTCCCAACTAAGGCGTCCTGATCCACAACTTAAGAAACACCCCCCCCCCCCCATGGGGATGTGGCTCAAGTGGTAGCGCGCTCGTCTGGCATGCGTGCGGCCCGGGTTCGATCCTCAGCACCACATACCAACAAAGATGTTGTGTCTGCCAATAACTAACTAACTAAATAAATAAATAAATATGTTAAAAAAAAAAAAAGAAATAAGAAACCCCCCTCACCACAAGATCTGACATCCCACCAACCCAACAAGCAAACTCCACCGTCTGAGGAAACTTACAGTTTGAAGAGCTGGGCCCAGGGAGGATGGAGGAGGGCTCTGATCAGGTCTGGCGGGAATCCTGGGTATTCATCAGCCCGGCCCCTCCACCCTTTTCTAAAACACACCTCTTTTGACTAAATCCGGTCCTAGAGCCAGGCCCCTGGCCCACTCACCATGTTTCCTTTAACCCACTGTGTGCCAGGTACACTTTGGAGAGAGCTTACTTCCAGCAGAGGGGCCAGCCCAGAGTTGTGTGAAACACTCCGTTGTCCTGTTTCTTTAATATTCTTTGATCTTAAAATTCCCTTGAGCTTTCTTGTGCCTTTCTTTTGCCCCCCTCTCCTGCTCTTTGTCACCACTGAGCTGCGTCCCCCTCCATCGCCTGGATTGCGGGCCCCAGTCTCCCACCTTCCTAGTCTTTCTTTAAGACACTGGTATCTTTGAAGAATATACTCGTGTGTGTGTGTGTGTGTGTGTGTGTGTGTGTGTTTTACTGAGGCTGAACTCAGGGGTTCCCTTCCACTGAGCCCATTCCACTTCTTTTTGTTTTTTGAGATAGGTTCCCGCTGAGTGTCTGATTTTCCCCAGGATTACGTTGAGTTCAGGCACATTGGGCTGGAGGATCCCAGAGGAGGGTCTGTCTTCTGAGAATATCATTTCCAGACACAGATGACATTAATTTGTCCTTTATTAAGGATCGTGTACTTAAAGTATTTGTTTCCACTATGCAAATGAAACTTTTCTTGGGTGATTATATATCTGTATGGAAATCATTTAAGACTGAAAATATGCCATTTCTCACCAGATTATCCACCAGTAGAAAGATCATTTAAATAACATCACTTAGCAAAACAACCTTACTACCTACCATTTTACATGGCTTTTAGTTTGTTGGTTGGTTGGTTGGTTTGTGGGGATTGGCTTACATCCACCATTTCTGTGGGCTACACCCCCATGTCTTTATTTCCTGGGCTAAATGGATCCAGTTAAGATTCACAGCTACTTCCAGATCAGAGTTTGAAAGTGTGTGCCAGTTTTTTCTTGTTACAAAGAAGCAGGAGAAAGTCTGCCTAGTACTCGAGTGTAAATTCCATAGCCCCTGGGTATTATATTTTCATCTTTGTCAGTAAGTTAGCTGAAAGATACCTCCTTTGTAATTCCAGTTAACTTGAACATTTCCCTCCAATTTGGGGAACACACACACACACATACACTCACACACACACACATTGGTGGCTAATTCATGCTTTTACTATATATCTCCTGAAGTATAAGCGGACCTTCATTAATCTAAAATAATTCTTTTAAAGTGAAGGACATCACTAGGTGCAGTGATGTCATCTCAGCAGCTCCAGAGGCTGAGGAAAGGCAATCCTAAATTAGGGGCCAGCCTGATCTACTTACCGAGCCGCGTCTCAAAATAAAAATAGAAATGACTGGGGGTGTAGCTCAGTGGGAAGCACCCCGGGTTCATCCCCAGTGTGTGGTGGGTGTTGTGGAGAGCCGGGTCCTGAGCCAATGTAGGCCACAGGAGCTGCATCCCAGGCCTCTCCCATCGCCCAGGCGGGACTCGGCCTCCCACGTGGCTGGGATCACGCGCCCACCGCGCCCCACCGGGCCGTTGTCAACGGTCCCTACAGTGGTCCCAGCTGACATTGGTGACTTCGGACCACTTACAGTTCCATGGTGGCTTCTTTCCCATTTCTACTGGGTGCAGTTTATTTTGAAGGACGCTCCTGTGTGTTTACACAAGAGGCGCCGGAGCTGTAAGGACCCCCCCCCCCGTGGGTCCTGGAACTGGGATCCACCCCGGGCCCTGCCAAGTCCCACGCGCACATCAGAGGTCAATGAGGGGTCCCCCTCCACGGCAGGAGGGGACCCCACAGTGGGGTGCGGGTGACACGTCATCGGCTTGCCCCCGCGGGCTGGGAGAACCGGGTGCCGCTTCACCCTGGGGTGGCCCGGTCACGTCGCGGTGTCCCACGGGTGCTCCCCGGGGGGGAGGGGGAGGCTGCACACTCCTGCGCCCTGCGGCCGCTCGGGCGCCACTTCGCACACGTGTTTCCCCTCTCAACGCGAGTGACCGGCACTGTGCGAGGCCAGCCGCCTGCCCTCGGGGCTCGCCGCCCGCGGCTGCCCTGCCGCCCGGTGCGGGGCTCTCTACCCGTGGGCTCACCCCTCACCGCGGGGCACCGCACCCGGCGGCCGGCTTCCCACGGGCCTTCCCGCGCCCACGGGCCCCAGCGCGCGGAGGCGCCTGGGAAATGCGGCCCGGCCCCGCCCCTCCGCGCTCGCCGCGCGTGGCCTCCTGGGCCGGTGCCGTGACTTCCGGCCGCCGCTGGCGGGCGCGCATGCGCACCGACCCAGCTGGCCTCGGCCCGTGGGGTTTGGGGGTCAGACGGCAGCCCAGCGCCGTCCTGTACATCTTCTGGGGTGTGCGGCCGGTGACTGCTGCGCCCGTGGATGCCAGGAGTTAATGACTGTCCACGTGGCCAAAGAGTGGGCAGCACCAGGCTTGGACCCTCAGGCCTTGGGACAGACCCTGGAATGTCCTCCACCTCCTGTGGAAGGGAGTAACTTCTGGGATTCGGGTGGTTCTTTTCACCTTTGCGCTGTTTGCTATGTGACAGTATTTAATAAGATTAATATGTTACCTTTAGAAAATATGATTTCTCTTAAAACGTAAAAGACGGGAAGTTCGTCTGCCAAGATGTTAGATGATCACTGATGGTGGAGACGTGATGAGTTATTTTCTTCCTTGCGCTTTTACAACATTTGTGAGCAATCAGATGCCGAATTCAGGTAACAAAGTGGTACAGCCTGCTGTGCCCCCACCAAGCCTCCCCGGTGGTCGGAGCTGTTAGGTGCAGCACAGGCTGAGTAAGCTGTCTGCAGGGCAGGCCAAATAAAGTTAGCTGCAGGGTGACCTGGCCTCTCAAACCCTCTGTCTGGCTCTTTATCATCTGATTGCTTCAAGCCCAAACGCCCAAGCCCCCGCTCAAGGCTGAACACTCAACCCCCTGCTCAAGGCCGAACATGTAACCCCCCTTGTGCCAACAAGGCAGCTTGCAGACCCGGAGACCTCATTAGATTTGGGCTATAAAAACTCCCTCCTGCCGGGCCTCTCTCTCTCTCTCTCTCTCTTCTCCTCTGTTCACTGCTGCAATAAAGATCTTTTGGTTGCTCTGAGTGTTGTGGTCACTTTCATTGGTGCCGAAAACCCGGGAGAGGGTTAAAACCCACTTTTGGGTCCCTCTTCCTTTGGAAGTGCCACTCACCGGTCAACCTGAACCCATTTTCTCGATCGCCAGAACTACATCCACCACCGACCTTCGATTGGTGAGTTTCCCCTTCCTGGAGTCCTAAACCCAATGGTGGTGTCTGGAGGATTTGACTGTTGATCGTCTGGCAAACCTCTCTGCCCACCTGTGGGGAGGAAAACAACCCACCACAGCCTTCAAGGCTACGGTGGCCCTCAGGGACTCCTTCCTAGGGCAGAATAGACTCCTGGGTTCAAAATTATCCCCTTCCCAGCTGGTAGTTTCCCAGCATAGGCTTTGTAGGTCTCCCTCAAAGGACTCTGTAACCTCCGGGGACACATAACAGAGAACTGAACATCACACCCCACCCAGACCTTCATGGTCTCGGTGGTTCATAAAGTCCTAGTCCTCACCTTCAAGACTTGGCCGCCAGAGAGAACCTTACCCTCCCCTTCCTCCCTCTTCCCCTGTCTCTCTTTCCCTTCTTTCCGGCCCTGGGAGTATCCGGCCTCTCCAGGAGGGGTCCCGAAAAGCCTTGGCCAAGGTCTCCCACGGCTCCGGCTCCGTCCAGGACGAGAGCTTCGACTGTCAGGATTCGGTGATGACCAGTCTCTGCAGCTCGAACCTGCCACTAAGGCACTCCTGATTTTTGGCTCTAGCAGGGATGCCCCTTTTGCCAATAAATCAGTTTCCCCCTTCTCTCTTATACTATCTTTGCGTCTCCTTCCCTCTCCCTTATACTACGTTTGCGTCCTCTTCCCTCCTCCTTATACTACGTTTGAGACATGGGTAGTGTGTCCTCTCTGCCGGTCGACTCTCACCTACAATGCCTCTTGAATAACCTCAAAATCCTCTCCTTGACACCAGACATCAAACCCAAAAAATTGATCAAATATAGCACCCAGGCCTGACCCACTTATCCCTTAGACAACCAAAGCAGATGGCCCCCTTTTGGGTCCCTGGATCCCTCCATTCTGAGGGATCTCTACAATTACTGTGAGTATTTGAAAAAATGGGTAAAGATCACTTTCTTCTTGCTCTAATCCAATCCTGCTCTCTGCACCTCTTGCAACCCTCTACAAATTCTTCCAGCTTGCAAACCAACTCCCCCAACCATGATCCCCAACTTTCTCCTGCTCTGGACTCATCCACTACTTTTGACCCTGCTAATAAACCTCCATCCTATCGCCTGGCTTGAATAAGTCCTCACCCTCAGCCATCTGCCCCAGACTCTCCGCCGTCACTCCCACCTCAGTAACCTGCTTTCTCCCCTCCAATCACTAGATCAAAAACGTACACCACCGCCCTTCCTCAGACTGTTGCCCCCTTGCTGAGGTAGCAGTTACTGAAGGAATCCCTCCACCCACTCACTCCTCTCTTCTACTGTTAGCACCCACACCAGGTCCCACCAGGTCCTCTTACCAGCTAACCAAAAGCTCAAATGAGCTGAGGAGAGCCCTCAGACCCCTATTCAAGATCTGGTGAAAATGGCCTTTAAAGTTGCTTTGTCATCACTGAAAACAGGTTACTAAGAATTAAAGTTCCTTATAGGCTTTTGGGGATATTCACTCCTGTCTTGCCCTCTGTTCTACCTGTTCTACTGCTCAAGTTTCCTTGCTAGGAAAATCCCAAACCCTTTTCCCATTATTCTTTTACATCTCCTTCCTCATTCTCAGATCCACCCTAGATGCTCTCAGCCCCACCTTGCCGTCCTCCCCCTCCCTACCAGGCCCACAGAAAAGTCTTAACTGACCTTCTCCAGAATCTTCACCATGGCTGATTTTAGGACTGTCAGCAAAAGAATCTCTATAAAAGAGTTCATTGTAGATAAACTTCCACTTTTCATGTTGCCCTGTTTTACTTGACCACTGGCTGGAAAAATCAGCACTCCAGGTGCTGGACACCCCCTTACTAGTTTTTCACAAAATATGTAAACAAGGCCTTTGGCCTTGAGCTGGGCTGAACAGTAATGACTACATTTTGAGGATAAGGAAGTTACCAACTGGGCTCCATGGTAACATCTGGCAGGGGGAGGAAAGAAAAGGAAAAAAAAAAAGTTCTCCCCTTCCCAGGTGTCCTTGAAGGGTTAACTTGCCCAGAACAGAGAAAACAACAAAAAAACAAAAAAAACTGCTTTTTGTGAACTTCTGCAGACTGTGAACTTCTGAGCCCCTCCCTTTACATGCTGGGTGCAAAATTCTGAAACTACCTAAACTCGGGGTTCAGGGGATTAATTGATAACAGCAGAAGCTGTGCCCTCTGAATCTGGCTGCAGCCAAATATAACTGTTTCCCTATCTTCACTGCTATCTTAGGTGCCTTGCCTTGTCCGTCCCTACAACAGTATAATTCTATATACTTAAACATTGTTCATGTTTTCATGAAATGGTAAACAGATGTGATTAATTGTGTACTGCAAATAACAAAATATCTCTTATTAAAATGGAATAATTTACCTAAATTCAGAAATTTACAAGGATTGGTTCAAAGTGTGAATAAAGAAGGAGTTAACAGATGGGAAAGAGAAATTAGAAGGTTCTAGGTATGGATTTAATAGAAGGAAAAGGTGTTTCTGGATAAGAGAGTCTATTAAGTAAATAAGAGGGTTTAAGCAAGTGATAAAGAAGGTCTATGTACATTGGCTATATAGGTTTAAGTAAGTGATAAAGAAGGTCTGTGTATGTTGGTTATATATGTAAGTTTTCTGAGCAAGTAATCTTGAAGGAATTAAGGATTAAACAACTATGGTTAAACAACAACTGTTATTTTGCAATATTGTAATATGTTATTTCTTTAAGAGCTAAACTTGATTAATATAAAAACATCAATGTAATTGTTGTACTATTACTCTTCTTTGTATATTAAATGTGTTCATATTTTCCAGGTATATAAGTCTTTAAGATAGAAGCTTTAAAAAAAAAAAAAAGCATTATATCAAGCTGGTCTTCTCCAAAAGGTTGCATGGTAATTTTAGGCTTATAAAAATAACATATTGGAGATTTATTTATATCATTTAATGTTTGTAACTGTTCCTGTTATCAATAAGATTAATATAAAGTTTTATAAACTGGGTACAATTTAAATGTAATATCATATTGTGTTAGCTAGTATTCATGTGACCTCGAACAACAATATATGTAAACTTTATAAAATGATATTTAAAAACAAAGATCAGCTTCAATACTAGAACACTTTACCTAAGATTTATGAAGAGCCCTGGCTTACCTGAGATAAGGCTCTGCCTTCCATCTTACTACATGTCAGAATGACTCCAAAGTAGGCCAGACTTCAGCTAAAGCCCAGTACTCTTAATTTAAGGTGAAACTGACTTTGCTGGATGTTTACGATCAAGACTTAAACTTAAATTAAAATGGCCAAGAAAGCCAATATTTGGCTCTTGCCCTCTGAGTCAGTCTGAAATCCAGGGAACTTCTCTAAAGAGCTTTGCAACTCTGGGCCACATAACCTCCTGATCAGGGAGATTAATGAGACCACTGGAAAATGAATAGCCAATCAGTGCATTTGCTGTGAAGAGGAGGGTCATCGGAAAAGGGAGACATCCCTGATGCTTCCAAGGGAAGCCAAATGGTCAAGCAAGACCTGGACCCATCCTAGCGCAAATGGCACTAGCAGAACTAAGAAGCTGCTCTCAGGTTCCCCCATGAGCACCCCCTATGGGAACTCGGCTGACTCTTAACAATAGATAGAAACAAAGTCAATTTTGACCAGCTTGATCTTAAACACCTACCAAAACCAGTTAAGCCAAAACACAGTTATTCCTGGGAGCAATGAAGGACAAGAACAGCTAGAAAAGAGGAGACAGCAACAGCCAACAGTCTCCATGGGGAATGTTCAGTCAAGTGTGGCCTGGGCTCCTCCCCCTCACAGGACCCCTGTTAGTCCTCTTTATGTTTCTCCTAATAGGACCATGTCTATTAAATTGCCTTCAGAAGTTCCTGCAAGATCAGATACACAAATTCACCAACCAGTCAGTCAATCAACTACTTCTTTAAGACTACCAGCCCCTGATGCCCAAGACGGAGACCTAGGACTCACGACCAACTCCTCTAACTCCAGAGACTCTGCCCCCACAT